AATTGTGAATCACCTCACACTCATAAGATTGCCAAGTTGATTTTTTAAATGAAAAGGAAAATGACAAATGCAGGGATAATGGGAAAAGACGTATGCTAAAGCATTATTGGTGGAGCTGGGAATTGGTCCAATCATTCTGGAAAGCAATTTGAATTCTGCCCCAAAAGTTAGTAACCTGTGCTTACCCTTTGATCAATGATACCACTACTGGGCCAGCTAGGTTGCACAGGACATAGAGCACTGGGCCTAGAGTCAGGAAGACCTGGGTTCAAATCCAGCCTTTGAGGCTTACTAATTGTGTGACCCTGGGCTGGTCACTTACCCTCTGTTTGCCTCAGTTTCCTCACCTGCAAAATGGAAACAATAACAACACTTACTTCCCAGGGTTGCTGTGAGGATTAAATAAGGTAATAATTATAAAGCACTTAGCACAGTCTCTAGAGCATAAGTAAGCACTATGTAAATGTTAGTTATTATTACTAGACTTATACCCCCAGGGTAGGAAGGAAGCATTTATATAGTGCCTACTATATGCTAGGTACTTTATAAATATTTTATAAATTTATTTATTTATGATTTATTATATATTCAATATTTTAATTTAATAAGTATGTGTTTATATGATATATTAATAATTTATAAATATTTTAGCCTTACAACAACCTTGGGAGATAGGTTCTATTATTGTCCTCATTTTATAGTTGAATAAACTGAGATGGATAGAGGATAAATGACTTGCCCAGGGTCACATAGTTAGTAAGTGTTCAAAGGCAGATTTGAACATGGGTCTTCCTGACTCTAGGCCCAATGTTCTACCCACTGCACCAACTACCTGCTCAAAGAAAGAAGAAAAGATATATACAAAAGTTCTTTTGTGGTGACAAAGAATTGGAAATCAAGGAGATGACCATCAATTGGGGAATGACTAAGCACGTTGGGGCATATGATTGTGATAGAATATTATTATACCATAACAAAGGATGAAAAGTACAGTTTCAGAGAAACTTGGAACACTTATGTGCACTAATACAGAGAAAAGTGAGCAGAAACGGGAGAATAATTTATACAACATTGCAAAAATGAATACCCCTGAAAGACCTAAGAACTCTAATCAACACAAAGATCAACTATGACTCCAGAAACCAGTGATGAAACATCATTCCCACTCCACACCCATCAGAAAGGCATGGACTCAATGTGTACACTGAGACAGACATTTTTGAACATGAATTTATGTTACAAGGATTGTGTTTTTCTTCTTTTTTTCAGGAAGCAGAGATAGGAAGCAGAGAAAATAAATGTTTGTTGATTGAAAAAAAATTAAAGAAAAGAAAAAAATTTATTAGTTACCACTTTAAAACAGAGAATCCATAGGGACAAGCAAAATATCTAGGTAATAAATGATTTTTTTTTTCAAATGAAGACCTGTGATTTCATAGACTGAGGAATTCCCAGCAACCCCTCTGTAACTTATAGACTTGGAAAGCTGCCTGGGGCAGTGAGGTAAAGTAATTTCTGCATTGTCACACAGATGCTATATGTCAAAGACAAAACCTGAATGCAGAGACTGCTATTTGTCAATAAATGGATATATCATTTAGTATTATTGAACAGCCAGATAGTGGTAAAAATCCATAATCCCTGAATGAAAATAATTTTAGAAACAAGAAATAGAAAATTTGTTCCTGCATTATCAAGGGTAAATTATTTGATACTTTGAAAGATACATAATTTCATTGACACAATTGCTCATCAACTAAAACAGATTAGAAGCCCCTCCAAACCTTGTCATCTTCTGTGTGTGTCAGGCGACCCCCTACCTATAGAGGCTTAACAAAAGCAAAGTTGAATAGTCAGCCTTGGTACATCAAAACTACCTACAGACCGCAGAACCTGGTCATGCAATCTCGACCTACTCAACTGTCATGAAACTAATGGAACAAATGTGAATTAAGTACTTACTGTTTTAAGGGCATTGTGCTAGCCATTGAAGAAAAACAAACTTTACATAAGGGCTTCCCCTCATGGAGTTTCCAGTCTAATGTGAGAGATAGCATGGCATAGTGACTAGAAAGCTGGCCTTGGGGTCAGAAAAATCTTGTTGAATATCCTTTCTGTTTTATACCTAAATAAACCTCCTTTTTATCTCATTTTGTTCCAACACCAAACCTATTTTAACAGGGACCTGATCTAAGTCAGGCTTACCCATCATACCTTTTGACCAAGAAATTTCACTGCTGGAAGGCAGAGCCAAAATGGAGGAGCAAAGGCAGGGACTCACCTAAGCCCTCCCCCAAATCCATCCAAATCCCTTTTAAAAATGAATCTAAACAAATTCTAGAGCAGCAGAACCCACAAAAAGACGGAGTGAAAGAAATTTCCAGCCCGAGACATCTTGGAAGGTCGGCAGGAAAGGTCTGTTGCACCAGAGTAAAAGGGAAGCGCAGTCCGGCGCCAGCAGCCACATTGCAGACCAGGCCCCAGCAAACCCAAAGCAGGCCTTGGGGCAACTGAGTCACTGGCAGCAATGGCAGTTTCCAGACCTCTCAGCCCACAGACGCCAAAGATAACTTAGAAGGTCAGCAGGAAAGGTCTGTAGCACCTGGGTGAAAGTGGAGCACAGTCCAGCACGAAACACACAGCCTCGCCCCGGCAAACCAGGGGCAGGCCTTGGGAGTGACTGCAATGTGTCAGTAATGACAGCGGCAGCAGCTGCTTTGGGAGCTCTCAGCCTATAGATGGTAAGGAGGTCAAACAACTGGTTGGAAGGAGATTACAGGGGTCTTTTTGCTAGCACTGAGTCAGGACTCTGTTGCTTTGCCCATACTCAGATCCAGGTCCTAGGTGGCAGTCCCAGGGTGAGGAGGAGCACTAACTTAGCAGAGCTCGCAGCCCCGGTGGAAGGGGGACCCTCCTCACAATTCTAGGGCAGAAAAGAGTCCTTGTGGTCTCTCACAGACCAGAACACAGGCCAGGAGAATAGTAAACACCTCTCCTTAGATCATACCATCTTGGAAGAACTGAAAATTTACAGGTACCTAGAAGTATCTCTGAAAACAGCTGCACAAACCCCTGAAGCTTGGGACACTGTGCCCTCCACCCTGGAAGCAGAGCCCAACTTTAACAAAGAGTTAAAAGTCAACCAATAAGCTGGGAATATGAGCAAACAATGGAAAAAAACTCTTGACTATTGAAATTCCACTGCTGGGAGATTACTCCAAGGAGTCAAAGACAAAAAAAAAAAAAAAAAAAGCCCCACAAAAGCCTACCAAAATAGTTACAGTAGAACTTTGAGCAGAAGCAAAGAACTGGAAACAAAGTAGATTGGAGAATGGGTAAATAAGTTATGGTACGTGAATGCAATGGAATATTATTATGCTATAAGAAATAATGAATATAGAAAAGCATGGAAAGATCTTTATCAATTGATGCTGAGTGAAGTAAGCAGAACCAAGAAAATAATGTGTATGTGTGTGTGTGTATATGTATATACACACACACACACATTATATATAGATATAGATATATATAATGACTACAACAATGTAAATAAAAATGTTGTTGTTCAGTCATTTCTCAGTCATGTCCAACTTTTCATGACCTCATTTGTAGTTTTCTTGGCAAAGGTACTTGGAGTGGTTTGCCATTTCTTTCTCTAGCTCATTTTGTAGATAAGGAAACTGAGGCAAATAGAGTTAAGTGACTTGCCCAGGGTCACACAGCTAGTAAGTATCTGAAGCCAAATCTGAACCCAGGTAGAAGAGTCTTCCTGACTCCAGGCCTGGCACTATTCACTTAGCTGTCTACAAATAGAACAATACTAACAAAGCAACAAAAACTGAATATTGCTAAACTCTAATGACCAAATTTTACCTGAAAGAAGAGATACGAGAAGGCATCTCACAGCAGATTTTTTTTTCACTATCTTGGTTAGTTTTTCTGAAATTTTTTCCCCCTTTTAAATTATTTATTATGGGGGGAATGCAAGTGACATAAAAGCAAAATATATCAATAAATCTTATTTTTAAATGATTTTTTAAAAATGACTCGTGGTCACTTTAACCCTACAATGAGATATTAGAGCAGAAAGAATGAGACTTTTTGGAGGAAGACAGCATATTATGCATTAAATAGGCTTTTGTGAGCTGACCCAGAAACCTAACTAACCTCCTTTAATAATGTCACTTCTCTGAAATCGTATGTTCTAAGATATAAACAACAAACCTACAAATGAGCTTTTGGAAAACTGCCCATTTGTAATCTAATGGCTCCTTCTATTTAGCATCTGAGTTTTTTTTTAAATCTAAGTTGATAGCACTGATTTTAGTCCAGACCTATGAGTCCATTTGTTTTGGGAGATCGCAGTGAGGAAAATCCCTCTACCAATGCAGATCAACCTATAGTCTTAGAGTTGCCTGGGACATTGAGAGGTTAAATGATTTGCCCAGGGTCACATAATCCCCATGGGTCAGAGACTGGACTTTCATCCATATCTTCTAGACTTCAAGGTTTGATCTCTATTGATTATACTAAACTGAATCATTACACTAAAAGACTAACCATATGTGCCAAAAGGAGTGAAATAAGCAAAAAGAAATATACAGGAATGGGTTATGACTTTATTCCTTAAACACTGCCAAGGAAGTACTGACTTGTTCTTTCGGGGGAAAAAAATCATATAACTTTATTAGAAGGAGAAGAAGCAAAAATGAGATAAGGTGTTGGGTTTTGTCTTTTTTTTTTTTAAATATACTAGCTGGGAACATTCCATTCAACAATTCAAATACTTATGGAACAACATATGCACCGTGTTAAGCACGACAGGCACATGAAATAAAATTAGACAACAGTCCCAGCTTTTGAGAATCCAAGTCAGTACGTGAATCCAAATAGTTCCCAGCTTTGTGGGAACATTAAGTAGATTAAAATTAAAATACAGCAAAGAATGAAAAAAATGATGCAGTTTGGCTCTTTTTCCTTTCATACTTGAAAAGCTGATCTCAAGTTACGTTCATTGGTAATGCGTTGGATACAGGCATTGATTGGTGAGTCTGACATCGAATCATTGCAGATATCGCCCTCCGGAACCTATGAGGAAAAAGGAGACATCTGTCTGTTATACCATAACTGCTTGAGACTGGTTTTTTATAAAACTTTCAAATATTTTCTGTCTCCAACATCTTCACTTGAATACCTTTAAAAATACATAAAATGTAAACTGTCTAAAGACCAAATTCAGATTATTGTCCATAAATTGGGGGGAAAAAATTATGAAGTCATTTAATGTTCATCCCCTGTGTGAGACAAGATACTTCTACTCTGAACACTGCAACCATTTGTCTACTTGAGGACTTTTTAGTCCACTATCTTCATTACTGCCTTTCAGTTGAAATATGATTCCTATCATCTTTAGAATCAAATACGAAATCCTCTGCTTGGCATTAAAATCCCTTCAAAACCTGTCTCCTCCTACCTTTCCAGTCTTCTTATACCTTACATGTACCCTTCCATCCAGTGAAACTGGCCTCCTGGCTGTTTCACAAACAAGACACTCCATTTCCAGGCTCTGGGAATTTTCTCTGGCTGTCCCCTATGCCTGGAATGCTCTCCCTCCTCTGCTCCAGAAGACTGGCCTCCTAACTCCCTTTAAGTACCAACTAAAATCCCACTTTTGGGGGCAGCTAGGTGGCACAGTGGATGGAGCACCAGTCCTGGATTCAGGAGGACCTGAGTTCAAATCTGATCTCAGACGCATAACACTTACTAGCTGTGTGACCCTGGGCAAGCTACTTAACCCCATTGCCTAGCCAAAAAAAAATAAAAAATTAAATAAAATCCCATTTTTTACAAGAAGCCTTCCCCCAACCCTTAGTAATTCCAGTACTTTCCCTCTGTTATTTCCTACTTATCCTGCAAATAGCTTGCTTTGTATACATGTTGTTATCCCATTAGATTGTAAGCTTCTTGAGGGCAAAGTTTGTCTTTTGCCTCTTTTTGTATCCCTAGTGCTTAGTACAGTGACTGGCACATAGTATGCACTTAATAAATGTTTATTGATTGAATTTAAAGAGGAAGCATGATGTAGTTAATTGTTGTTGTTCAGTTATTGGAGTCAACTCTTCATGACCCCATTTGGGATTTTCTTGGCAAAGATACTGGAGTGGTTTGCCATTTCCAGCTCCAGCTCATTTTACAGATGAGGAAATTGAAGCAAATGGGGTCAAGTGACTTGCCCAGAGTCACATAGCTAGTAAGTGTCTGAGGCCACATTTGATTCAAGTCTTCCTGACTCTAGGCCCAGTACTGGATCCATTGTACCACCTACTTAATAGAGTAAGTAAAACCTGGATTCAAGTCCAGAATCTGGCACATATAGACCGTGTGACCCTGGAACAAGTCACCTCTACCCAGTGCTCCCAGTAACTTTATAAGACAATTAGGCAGGAAGATGCCAATCTGCCAAATCACCAGAGGAGTTGTGGTGGAGTGATGTCAACATGAACTTAATAATCTTCTGCTTCCCAGCAGAGGTCCAACCTTACAAAAAATTTTTACAAAGACAATTGCGATCAAACAGTCAACAAGCATTTATTAAGCACCTATTATGTTTCTGGCGCTGGAAATACAAAAATAATCAATGAAATGATCCCTGCTGACAAAGAGTTTACATTCTAAAGGAGGAGACAAGGAAACTCAATCAGGGTCCCAGGGTCTTGAGCTTTCAAATGATTATCCATCTCAATAGAACTCCAGACAGGACACTAATTAGTGGGTGAATACAATAATCATTCTTCCTGTTTGTAGATATTATCATGGTTGGATCATTAACAGCAAGTATTTCCCTCTGCATCTACTGTGCACACATATACAATATGGTATATCTTTTTTAATTTTTTAAGGTATATCTTTAGGCACACAAAAATTCAGCAGGAAGCATTAGAGTTTGAAAATTTTTTCAAATTTCAAAATTCCTTCTTTTTCAAAATTCCTAAGTTTCAAAATTCCTTCTTCTATATTATATCTTCCAGGTGAAATATTTCAGTAGAATCAATACATTCTGTCCTTCCTCCTAATTTACATAAAATGTAAATTGTGCTTGCTTGGGGGTGGGGTATAGGAGATGGAGAAGTAGAGAGGAATCCTCCCTGAAGAAGACATGCAGAAGAGGCCTTGTTTGCCTAAAATGATGACCATTAATTAACATCAGACTGTTTCCCTGGGTTTAGATGAAATCTGAGAGGCAACGTGACTTAGTGAATAGAGTGCTGGACCTAGTCTGAATTCTGCCTCACCAGCATTGTGACTTTGGACAAATCCCCTAGCTCTATCTGGGTTTCAGTATCCTCACCTAGAAGAGGAAAATTTGGATCTGATGATCTCCAAGGTCCCTACCAACTCCAAACCTATGCCACCAACTCATGCCTGTTACCTTTTTATATCAACACAACTTTTATAGTTTCTGTTTAGAAGCACTTACTTCTTGTTGGCAGCCACATATATGCAGGGATTGTAGAACGTGGAAGATTTTGCAAAGAGAGGGGCTATGATGGCCACTGCTGGGGGAATCTCCTTTGGGTCTCCAAAGGAAGCCCATAAGCACACAACAGAATAAGGGGACCAGGCAAGCAGGAACATTAAAATCATTATCACGGACATCTGGAAAACAAAACATGTGTCAATTTAAACACCAATATATAAAAATTCTCTGGCTTAGTCCTGGGGCAAGGCATTGTGGTATAACGGTTAGAGAGCTGTCCTCAAAGCCAGGAAGACTGCAGTTCACTTCCTGCCTCTGACCCTTATGGACTGTGCAACCCTTAGGCAAGTCACTTCACTTTTCAATACTATAAGGCAAATCTCTAAAAATACAAATTAAAGGGGAAGAAAAGAGAAGAAGCATTTATATAGTTCCTACCATGTGCCAGGCACTATACTAAGTATTTTTTACAAATATTATCTCATTTGACCTTCACAACACCCTATGAATTAGGTACTATCATTGTCCCCATTTTATAGTTGAAGAAACTGAGATAAATGAAAATTAAATGACTTGGCCAGGGTCACACAGCTAGCATCTGCGGCCAGATTTGAACTCCAGTCTTCCTGACTTCGGGCCAGTAGTGAAGCCACTATGCTATGAGCTGCCTCAGAAGGTAATAACCTCCCCCTAGCTGCTAATGTCTTCTTTCAAATTACCCTCATCTATTCTGCATATATCTACTATGTACATAGTTATTTTACATACTGTTTCCCTCATTAGAATGTATGGCAGAAACTCTTTATATCCCCCTGGGCTTTGCACAGTGTCTGGCATGCAGTAAGCACTTAATAGATGCTTGTTGAAGGGAATTTCCTCACCTGGCAAGTTCCCATACTGATGAAATCACAGGTTCATTTCCTATACTTCCTTTTGGGACTGGGAGTTTTATATTGTGCAATTGAGCACAATTCATACACGTTCCTTCAGTTTCATCTTCCTTATACATCCAGGGATAGCCCCCATAACCAGGAGCAAGCACAGCATGAACTCATTTAGCCACATGCTAAGCTAACTTCAAGAATCTCACACAAATTTAGGCAACCCTAGAACATAAGTTTTTTGTTGTTGTTCAGTCATTTTAGTTGTGCTCAACTTTTCAGGAGTCTCATTTAGGGTTTTCTTGGCAAAGATGGTGGAGTGGTTTGCCATTTCTGTCTCCAACTCATTTTACAGATGGAGAAGCTGAGGCAAACAGGGTTAGGTGACTTGCCCAGGGTCACACAACCAGTCAGTGTCTAAGGACAGATTTGAACTCAGGAAGATGGGTCTTTCTGACTCCAAGCCTGGCACTCTATCCACTATGCCATCTGGTCGCCCAGAACACAGGTTGGTGATCTCTAAAAAGTGTCATGTCAGCATTCTGACCCCTCCCCCTTTCTTTTGGCAGGGCTGGGGACTGCAGAGCAAGTACTGGCCAGAGATGGGAATTGCCCAGGGAGGTGGAGGAGGGGGTAGCCAGGCACAAGCAAAGGAAGGGAGGAAGGGGAAAGGGGGTGGATCCCTCATTCAGTGGCAAGAGGAGAGAATGTGATGGCAGGAAATGTTTGTGAGCCTAAGAAAAATAGCCCTGCCTTATACATAGGTTGCTGAAACTGCCCTATCACTTCCTTAGGGTAATGGCCTATCACCTTCGACAACTTTCTACATACCATGTTGGAGGATAAAGGTGGGGTAGAATAGCAGACATGGAGCTCAATTGATTGCAACAGAAGAGCATGAAAGCGATAATAGCATTTACACAATGAAAATTTCAAGCAATTTTCTGAAAGAATTATCACTCTCTTACCTTTGTTACATCTACTTGGTTTGACCAGTCTCTGTTTATGTGTTCAGGGCAGCTGCTAGGAGTATATTGTTTCATCTTTTGAGAAACATTGTAGTAACAGTAAAACATGACCACTAAGGGCATGACAAAATTTATAGCAATAACAGTCATTGTGTAAGAAACAAAAGATCTGAAAAATAAAGGCAATTATTACCTTCTAAATAATTTTCAAACAACAATTTAATAGCTAGAGGAAATTGCCCCTATCCAGAGATCACTCTAGCACTTCTCTTAGAAAGCTTCTCTATTTTTAAAAGAAAATTCACCATTTTAAAGTTAATTGAGATCTGTTTCTGATTTTCATAGTAACATTCTTTTGATGAACTCCACTCTCCCAGGAAAATCATATAGCAGGACTTACTTTAGCTTTTCCCCAGAATTCTTGTGGAAGCTGTACTTTGTCTACACAACACCCAAATGATGTTTAATTTCAAGGAAATCTCTTAAAGATTGCAAGAAATGAGTAGATACTAGGACCACAAGAATCATTTATGACTAATTCTGGGTCCCTACCTCACCCCCAATTCTCTTCTCCATTCTAGGTCCTACCTTCAGGGGCTTCTACAAATGCCCTCCACTCATAGGGAATATCAAGAAGAAGGGGAAAGACACAGGTATATGTTGTTTTTTAGTCGTGTCCAACTCTTTGTGATCCCATTTGGGGTTTTCTTGGCAAAGGTACTGGAGTGGTTTGCCATTTCCTTCTCCAGCTCATTTTACAGATGAGGAAACTGAGGCAAACAGGGTTAAGTGACTTACCCAGGATCACACAGGAAGTAAGTGTCTGAGGCCAGATTTGAGCTCATGAAAATGAGTCTTTCAATGTTCTCTCAACTTCACCCCTAGCTGCCCATATAGGTATATAGGTAAGGAGAAAAGGAACTCTCTCCAAACAAATAACAGAACTTCCCCCATATCTCTTGTCTTGCTCTCAAAGCCTCTGTAATCTGAAAACTCGTATGACATGTCACCTCCCATTCAGTCCATCCCCACCATTTTAAATTGCCCTGTATCAATCCCTGTCTAGAAACTCTTCTAGCTCTCAAAACATCTGCAAGGCTGAGGAATACTCCTTCAGCAGAAAAAAATAAATGAACTAAGTCAAAATCCAGAGAAATGTAGAAATTCCTAAATTTGTAGCATGTGACTTTACATGGTAAAACTCTCTTACGCATCATTCTTCCGCCAGTTTATGGTACACGTAGCACCTGTCGGATCCGGAGCGTAACCAGCCCAACCTATTATAGGCATCAAGGCCCAAAAAAAGCCATTCACCCAAGCAGTCAGAATCATTATGGTGTAATTGTAAGGAGCCATTCTTCTCCCTGTTGACCAATAGACATAATCAATGCTGACATCATTCATCAATAAACTGTTCTATACTTCCGCTTGATTTTTTTAAAGCTGAGATTGAGTTAAACTCTAATTCAGTAGGTTGGTTGTTTTTTTAATTTGGGAGGTTTTTTACTTTTTAGCATTTTCGTTCTCTCAAACTTTGAGTACGTACACATACTTCATTATTAAAGGTATTGTATTATCAAAGACAAATAAACTAATTTTGTCCGTGACCCACTGCAGCACACTTCATTATTAAAGGTATTATGTTATCAAAAGCAGGTAAACTAATTCAGTCTGTGACCTACTCATTGCTTAGCACCTATCTGCTATCTCTGTAGTACTTAAAACATTCAATTTGGCAAACGGAAGGATTCTCTCTCGAGTCAAGCACTTACCCGTCCGTCCCTACTCCAGTTTCATTGCCTGGTCTCTAGGCAATGAAGAGGTCAGTCGGCTGACTGACCCTCCTCAGGATATTGGTCACTCTCTTCAGGATATTACAGAAATGCTGATTAAACTGTGTCAGTAAATGGGTAAAGAAAATCATAGGATCCCCCAATGTTGGAAATGACCAAATGGAACCTGTCAACAGACTTCAGGAAAAATTATTAAAAAGAAAACAATACACCTCAGCTCTACTGCTTCATGTGTGATATCTGAACTGGAATCTCAACCAAAGCAAAACTGATTCTCCAGAGAAAGGTGAGCTGGAGTCCAGAAAAACACAAGAATTCTTCAGCTAAAAACCATCTCAGAAAAACAATCAGCTGTGACCCAAGAACTACCTTATGACACTACATGAGGAACAAATATGGTCCCAATGCCATATGGGCTGTATTCTTGTTCTTCTATATCCCTTCTTTCGTAGGATGATACATTGTCAATTCCACCTGAGCATCATGCTTGTGATTTCACTGTGAGCCCATTGATCAGTAGACGGCGTGATAAAAACAGACTGATAATCTTTTTTCTAAAAATGCAATTGAGATTCTAGGTTAGTTTGCTTGTCACTTTCAATATCAGAAACCTAAAGAGGAGATTATGACGTGAGGCACAAGGTTCCTTAGTTATCTCTGAGAAGATGGGTTATGCAGATGTTTTTGAAGAAAATGCGAAAAAATGAAGTAAGCAGTTGTCCTAAATGTAAGAACAAAAGTACAAAACTAAAACATGTGTTGAACTCAAAGTCAAGAGTCATCCAAAAAAATACTAAAGAGACACGATAGCTTAGCATGGTACGGAGTCACAATAAGGAACAAAATTACTGATGAGTGTGGCTACAGGCATACTTTCTGGTTGGCCATGTAGTTAATAGGAAGTTGTCAGAAAGGACCAAGTTGAAGCCGGAGTTGAAGATGAAGATTTAAGATGGAAAGTAATTTTTAAAGAGGTTATATGCTAGATCAGTGGTTCTCAAAGGATGATTCAGGGGGCTCTGAATCCCTTTCTCAAACCCTTTTAGAGAGCCCATGAGGTCAAAACAAAGACTGAGCTGCTGGAGAGCAGAGATTGAGGTTTTTTTTGTTTTTCTTTGTATCCTAAGCATATCATATCCATAGTAGGTACTTAATAAATACTAGTTGACTGACTCATAATAATCCCAAGACATTTTTATTTCTAATACCATTAATATCTATAGCTATAACCCACATAAACAAAATCTCTTTGGGGGATCCTCAATTTTTAAGAGTATAAAGGGGTCCTGAGACCAAAAAGGTTGAGAACCATTGTGTTAGACAATAGAGTCAAAAGGATAGTTTGAAACTGGCCTGGAAAAAACTGGGCCCAACATAAAATTAATACTGAGTGTGGCTCAGAACCATCAAAATTGTTTTGGATATGTATGTGTAGAATGGTGCAATGACTCAGCCCTCATCATTAATCTGTTTTGAAAGCCCGTGAGGACAGAGCCGTACCAAGGTCAGGCTGACAGATGGTCAGGTACCGGTCAATAGCCACAGCAGTGAGTAATCCAATACTTGCCATTCCAAAAAAGATGTTCAAACCAGCATAAATCTGAAAGTAAAAATCAGACACAATTTTAATCGCCCTCCCAAGAAGCAACTGAAGGTGATGTTAGATTCAAAAATGTTTATCTATATTCAGGCATATTTTAATTTTACTTTGCTGTTGTTGTTGTTATTGTTGAATCAATCAGGGTTAAGTGACTTGCCCAGAGTCACACAATTAGTGAATGTTATATGTCTGAGGCCTCACTTGAACTCAGGTTCTCCTGACTCCTGAGTTAGTGGTCTATCCACTGCGCCACCTAGCTGCCCCCATTTTACTAATTCTTAATCAGTAAAATAACTAAGTTTTGTTTTTTAACTGTTTTAATAAGGTCATTTCAGGTAAGCATTGTGATGAACTCATATCTGAAAAGATCTCATCAATAATTATTCCACTTTAATACACTGTATAACAGAAATAGTCGTTTGTTCTTTCCATGGTTTATTAAAAAAAAAAAAAAACCTTTGGCTTACTATTATGTCTATTCTACTCAACCAATGCATCAAAAACTCAGATTTAATTTGTTTTCTTTACATCAAATATAACAGTGACTATCTCTAATGCTTAATTCTGAATGGGGAATTTTAATGGAAGCATTTACTATAACAATATGGTAACTGAACTAAATCTCTTAGATACCATAATCAGTCCACAAAACTATTTTGTTGTTGAAAAAGCAACCATGGAAATTGGTTTGAAAATATATGTACAACAAATGACTATAGCATTGCAAATCAAAAGAACAAAAAAATTGAATGCCACGTAATTATAATGACTGAGCTTGGACCTAGGAAAAAGTTGAGAATATGTACTTTTCCTCTCTCCATTGCAGAAGTGAGGAAATGCAGATGTGGAATGTAGCAGACTCCATCAATGTGTTGCTTAGCTTTGTTGAACTTTATTCTTCTTTTTTGAAAAATAAGTTTTTATTTTAAAAAAATTTAAAAATTAGTTTTTATTGATGTCTTTTGTTTTTTACATCATCACAGTTTTGCCCAAGTTGTTGTTGTTTTTCAGTTGTTTCAGTCATGCCCAACTCTCCGTGACCCATTTGGGGTATTCTTGGCAAAGATACTCGAGTGGTTTGCCATTTCCTTCTCCAGGATCTCTCCCCATCCTTTTCCCTTCCCAGATAACCATCCCATATAACAAATAGGATTTTTTTTTTAAAGACAAAAAGATGTTTCCTCTTTCTTTTTTAATCTGTGTTATAAGGGATAACTCAGTGGGCAGGAGAATATAGAGTACATTCAAAAATGAAATTGATATGAAACCAAAAGATATTAACAAAATAAGATTTTAAAATTTTAAAAGAAAATTCATGTACAAGTGTGCATAACTCTGCTTGACTTGGGAATGGCTACTGTTAGAAAGACAGTATGACCTAATGCTCTGGCTCTGATGGTCACTAGTTGTGTGACTCTGGGTCATTCACTTGATATTGCAGAGACTCAGTTTTCTCATCTGAAAAAAAAAGGGTTGATCATAATCATAACTCACATTTAAAGTTTGTGAAGCTTTCTGGATGACTTTCTAGACCTGACAAGATACATTAAATAAGATAATGTATGGAAAGTAATTTATAAATGTAAGTTGTTATTAGGACCATAGAATGGTAGACCTGGGGGAAAAGATTAGAAAGAATCAGACTCCCTCATGGCCAGGCAGGTGTAGAGCATCGAATCTCCCTCAGTCAGAATTTTATGCAAATGGCCCTTTGAGCCAACAGTTGCACATAAAATCATTTGGCTTTTAAAGGCCTTCACAATATGGCCCCTTCCTACCTTTCCTGTATCCTTACACTTTGTTCTCATCTACATACTCCTCAATCCAGCAATGCCAGCCTCTTGGCTGTTCCTTAAACATACGACATTTCTCCCAACTCCAAGCATTTCCATCAACTGTCCCCCATGCCTGGAATGTCTTCTCTCTTCTTCTCTCCCTTTTGGTTTCCCTGTTGTCATTGTTCAGTCATATCTGACTCTTAGTGATCCCATTTGGGATTTTCTTACAAAGATACTGGAGTGGTTTGCCATTTCCTTCTTCAGCTCATTTTATAGATGAGGAAACTGGGGGAAATGGGGTTAAGTGACCTAGGGTCACAGCTAGTAAGAGTCTGAGGCTGCATTTGAACTCAGGTCTTCATGACTCCAGGCCTTACGCTCTATCCACTGAGCCACCTAGCTGCCCCCTTGATTCCTCTGACCTCCTTCAAATCTCAGCTAAAATACTACCTTCTACAATAGGCCTTTCCTAGTCACCCTTAATACTAGCACCTTCCCTCAGATATTACCTCCACATTATCTTGTATATATGTCTTGCTGATGCGTAGGCATTTTCATGTCAGTTCCCACAATAAAATGTGAGTTTTTTGAGAGCGAGGCCCGCCTTTTGCTTTTCTTTGTATCTCCCGTACCTGGTAGGTGCTTAATAAATGCTGGTTGATTTGACATCTTTATTTTTAAGCTGATATTCTATGTTCTTTATAGTTGAATTTATTCTAGATCTCTTAATAATTTTCCCTATAGTCTATGTGACTCATAGTCCCCATTAAAATGCTCTTCCTCAAGCAAAATGGTGCCTTTGTTTGGTGGGGCTCAGGTTCTAGATGCAATGTCCAAGACCCAAAGATCCTAGGAATCCTTCCCCTCTCCCCCAACAGATTTGGGTTATGGCAGGCTCAATAACAGTTGGTGAAAGTTGGTGGTCCTCTCACCAAGCAAATTCATAAACGTTCATGAGCATCTACATACACCTGCAGCTTTGGGACCATTTCCTTTGCTAGGATCCCCAACCTCTGACACACAGCTGCCTAGTAGCTAGACCAAACTAGAACCCCATCTTCTGATTTTCCCTTCAATATTCTTTCCTCTATGTCATAGATTTTGGATTGATGAAAAAAAAAATGGGCCTATTCAATCCTGTGATGTCATTCTGGTTAACAGTAAATTCCTAACCATCCAACAAGACGTTGTCATTAAAAGCACTAGATATGAGATCTGACAAGATTCTCACTTAAAATAATAAGTCCTCTTTAAAAGAAAAAAAAATTCAAATTACTCTTTTTTTTCCCAAAAATGAAATTGCTTTAGTATTTAAGATCTAGGATCATAGCTCAGGAGCCGGAAAGGACTTCAAAGTTCCTTTAATACAGAAGTTCAGAACTTTTTTTGTGTTATGGACCCCTTTGGCAGTCTCTGAATTTATTCTAGATCTATTAATCATTTCTCTATAGTCCATGTGATGGATTGTCTCCATTAAAACTCTCTTTCTCAAGAAAAATGGTGCCTTTGTTTGATGGGGTTCAGGTTCTAAGAATAATTTTTCTTCTTGGAATAATTTTTTTAAATGCACGAAATAAAATATGCAGGATTACAAAGGAGATCAATTGTACTGAAATCCATAAATCGAATTTCTTTTAAGTCCACAGATCCCAGACAGATTAAGAACCCCTGCTTAGATCCAACAATTTCATTTTACAGTTGAGGACACTTGGCCATAGGGAAGTTTTGGCCAAGATCATACAATGAAGGAGAATTTGAAACTAAATCTTCTGACTCCAGAACCAATGTTCCACATTGTTCTCTAACAACCTAAAAGCTCTCAAGTACCTGACATCCAGCATGTCCAAACTTCCAACTTCCATACAGGTCCGAAGCAGCAGACATGGGATAACCAATGCTGCTAACCCCTATATCAGTAACAGACAGATTTATAATAATTGTATTTGTTGCTGTCCGAAGTTCCTTGTATTTAACAAAGATGCCAAGCACAATGATGTTACTGAGAATACTTATCACACCTACAAAGACACAGAAAACAAGGCACTCGGTATAATTTGGACACGTCTAAAAGCAAGATCAATATGAACATCAAAGGAGCCAGAAACGATTATTGTAGTATGATTTTGTCGACACACTGACCAGGAGTTTCACTGATACAAATACAGTGGATTGGAGGAAGCACTAGCAAGCAGGGGTAGTATTTGCACTTAAAAGTCTGCAAACCCCAGAATACCTTTAACAATGACAGAGCCAGCATCCAGACTCCCATTGTGACCAACTCCTCTGAGTCTTAGTTCCTTAGCTGTTATTGAGTCATTTCAGTCATGTGCTACTCTTGGTGACCCCGTTTGGGGTCTTCTTGGCAAAGGTACTAGAGTGATTTGCCATTTCCTTCCCCAGCTCATTTTACGTATGAGGAAACTGAGATAAACAGGGTTAAGTGGCTTGCCCAGGGTCGCACAGCGAGTAAGTGTCTAAGGCTGGATTTAACCTCAGGTCTGCGCTCTATCCACTGTTGCCCTGGTCCTTAGCCACAGTTCTTGTTCTCATTAACTAGGTCTCTCCTGTGTCAGATATTCTGACTCATTTCCCTGCTCTTCCTTCAGAAAAATTGAGAAAGGCATCTCTCACTTTGTGAGAGAAGTTACCTTAGAATGATTTAGCAACTAATCCCACCAATCTGCAACCCATATAACCATTTTTCTTTAAAGATCTCAGAACACACTCAAAATTGTCATTTAAATATGATAAATAGGGAGGGGAAAGAGGTGGAAAATTTAGAACTCAAAATCTTATAAAAGTGAATGTTGAAAACTAAAAATAAATAAATAAAATATGATGAATAGAGAAAAGAATGGAAAGACTTACATGAACTGATGCAAAGTGAACTAAACAGTCAAGAAAATAAGGTATGCAATGGAAATGGAAAAGGAGCATCAGATTGAGGTTCATGAGATGCCAGTTTGAATAGGTGCTGACCCAAAAAGAACTTTGAACTAGAGTATGGCCACCAGGAATCCTCCAGGAGCTTACCCTCTTACTGATGGTAAACACATATAAAAATAAAGTAAAATGAAAAGAGAGAGAACATTAATAAGTAATTAAAACCAATAAAATATTAAAATTTCAAAAGTATGCATAACCAAAAGATTAAATTTTATTTAATATATTATATTTAATTTTTATTAGTTATATTTAATTATTTAAATATTAATATAAATCAATGTTACAATTATATATTCTATAAATAAAACTAAATGAAAATTTAAAATATTAAATAAAACAAATATTAAATATCAGGTGATTAGCTTACTTGAACTCATATGACTTTCGAGAAGTCAATTATGAAACAAAGGCAAAAACAAAAGAAGACTTAAATAATTAGAAAGATAGTTGATGTCCCATTGATGGTGTCAGGGGTCCATGGCTGCTGATTGCAAGGGCTCTGGCACAGATATACAAAAGAAAATAGAGAAGGAATCAGAAGGTAATGTCAAGGATTCAGCCATTGTTGACCTTGTGACACAGCTTTAAATGTATGTTTTTGAATCTCAAATAGACCCTCATCCCTTCAAGGCAATCCTTTTATTTTTCTCTAACTGGTTCTTTTTTACACTCTTCCATAGTCAGTATTCCAAAACTTTTCTGTTCTGCTATACAACCCCTTTCCTTTCTGTCTCTAAAGAAGACCTTGTCTCATGCTTGACTGAGAAAAGAAGCCACTGGACCTGAGCTCCCTCCTGTATTTCAAAATCACTCCACATTGTTCTCCATTCTCCTCTTCTTTGTATCCATCTTAGAAGAAATCATTCTTGCCAAGGCCAACTCCTTTATATGTTGTCCTGGATCCCATCCCTTTATCTGTCTCCTCTGGTAACTTGTCCCTTACATCATCATCCCTCCACTCTCTCATCTTCAGTCTCTTTATCTACTGTCTCCTTCCTCAATACCTAACAAGCCCAGATTTCATCCATTCTATGAACAAACAAAAGAAAGAATGGATTCATGACCCTACCATTCCCTTAAACTATCATTCCAAATCATACCTCCTTTTCATAATCAAACTGCTACACATTACTATGTCTTATATTCGTTGTTTCTACTTTCTTAACTCCCACTGACTTCTTAATCCCTTAGAAATATGCTTACTGACCTGACCACTAAACTGAAGCTGCTCTGTCCAAGGCTACCAATGATCTCTAAATTTTTTAATCCAATGGCTGTTTCTCGGTCCTCTTCCATATTGACTTATCTGTAGCTTTTGATACTCCCTTCTTGCATATGCTATCCTCTTCCTTTTTTCTTTATGTTGTTCTCTCCAGGTCCTCCTACCTCTCCTCTTACTCTGACCACTACTCTCCAGTCTTGCTTGCTGTATCATAACCTATATGTCATACCCTTTACCCAAGAACTCATAGTGTACTTGAGATGGATGCCTGGATAACTAAGACAGAAATTCTCCGTGTATGCTGATTCAAGAACTACAGAGACTATGACGATCTGAAAATACAGTGTGGGCACAGTCTGAAAACCAAAAAAAAGGTCAAGCTGAAATCTTGTGAGAAGTAAGAAAGTATGCATAGAGGAAGACACGAACCAGGGGTGCTTACACAAGTGTTTACTCCCTAATTCTGCACGTTCTCCAAGGCTCTGTCCTAGGTCCTCTTCTCTTATCTCATTATATTTTTATCTCTCGGCAATATCATCAACTCGCATGAGTTTATTAACTCTATATAATATGATCTGATGATTAGCACTTGATTATCAAATCTATATATTCTAGTCCTAATGACCTTGGATGTTTGCAGTGGAAATGGAGAGTAAGTCTATATGCTAGAAATATTGTGAAAGTAGAACTTAGCAACAGATTTGATGTGGGGGAGAAAGAGGAAAGAGTCAAAGGTGGTTCCAAGGATGTAAGCTTGAGCGACTAGAAGAATAGTGGCGCCATTAACAGAAATAGAAAAGTTAAATGACAAAGCTGATTTGGGGGGAAGATAATGAGCTGAGTTTGGCACATGTTCAATTTAAGGTGCTGGTGAGAACATTGCAATGGAAATAGCCACAAAGTAGAACAATTTGTGAGTCATCTAGAAGGAAAAAAGGAACAAAAAGAAATGTTCTATTTATCTCATTAGATCATAGATTCAGAATTGGAAGGGGTAGTCATTGTCTACCTCTCTCATTTAACAGATAAAGAGAATAGAGTTAAATCTCGCCCCAGTCATACTGCAAATAAGTATCTGAAGTAGGATTTGAACTCAGGTCTTCCAGACTCCAAGACAAGTATCCACTATACCACCTAGCTACCTAAGTTTAATGGTGCTCTAATAAACTTAAATTTCTTGAGGTTAGGGATTGGTTAATTTGTTTATCTTTGTATCCCCATTGCTAGCACCGTGCTTTGCCCACAGTAGGTTTGCTGAATTGAATCAGATGATAAACAAACTTTATGGGAAACAGGGAGGGAAGGAAAGAAGGAAGGTAGGTAAGAAGAAAAGAAGGGAGGAAGAGAGAAAGGGGGGCAGCCAGGTGGTGCAGTGGATAGAGCACCGGCCCTGGACTCAGGAGGGACTGAGTTTAAATCCGGCCTCAGACACATAACACTTACTAGCTGTGTGACCCTGGGCAAGTCACTTAACCCCACTGCCTAACCAAAAAAAAAAAAAAAAAAGAGAAAGAGAAAAGAAGGGAGAGGGAGGGAAAGGAGGGGTTTATTAATCACCTAAGCACCTGTGTCAGGCACTGTTAAGCACTGTACAAATATTATTTCATTTGATCCTTACAGCCACCCTGGGGGAAGCTATTATTATCCCCATTTTACAGTAGAGGAAACTGAAGCAGGCAGAGGTTGGGTGAGTGGCTAGGATGATAGAGATAGTGAATGTAGGAGAATGGATTTGAACTCTGGTCTTCCTGACTCGATGTCCAGTGTCTTGTGCACTATGGCACCACCTAGTGATCTAGCTAGAGAAACTATTGGAGATTTGGTGACAAATAATTCTGCATAACAAAAAGCAATATTTAAAACAATTAGCTAAATTTGCTTTGTAAATATGACATAAAAATTTAACATACAACATTTATAAGGCAGCTGACATTTAAAGGCAGCTGCTGATGGAGCACCAGGCCTGTAGTCAGGAAGATCTGAGTTCAAATCTAGCCTCAGATGTTTACTAGCTGTGTCATTTAACTTCAGTTTTCTCATCTGTAAAATGGGGATAATAATAGCACCTACTTTCCAGGGTTGTCGTGAGGACCAAAGCAGATAATAACTTGTAAGGCCCTTAGCACAGTGCTTGGCTTACTATAAATAAGCACTATATATTATCTATCACCATCACTATCATCAAAAGGCACATAGCCCAGTGCCTTGTACATAACAGACACTATATTAATAAATGCTTATTCTTTCCCTTTCTCCTTCTCCACACTCTCTCCCTCCCTGCTTTATAAGGAACTAATAATACTATTTAAGGATATCACTCAGTGTCCAATGAATCCAGCAAAAGGATAAATAAAAGCAGAAACATAAATTGTAAATCACTTAACTGTTCAGCTTCAAGAACAAAATGTTGTATAACCTAACAACTTTGAAGTACGACCTGACCCCCATCAAATTGGTAAAGATAACTAAAAGTAACAAAATTCAGTGTTGTACAATTATGGACAACTCATACACTGCTGGTAGAATTTTAAATTGGTAGAATCTTTTTCTAAAAATACTGGAAGTGTATTAAAAGAATTACAAAAATAATCACAGTTTGACCCAACAAGCCTCTAAGTTGATATTTCCTAAACGCATTGCCAAAATGAAGAGGGGAGGGGAGGATGAGATTATTCATAACTATGAAAAACTGTTAACAATTTAAATTGTCAATATTTGGGAATTATTTAAATAAATTGTAGTATAGCAATATAATAGAATATGATAATGAAATTAATGTTTATCTATATGAAGACTACTATTCTTGTAACCAGAAGCATCACTTCTATGGCCCATTCACCAGAACATACAACCTATTTAGAAGATACAATTCCTAGTATTAATGAGACTTTACCTACATATTATTTTAAAAGAACATGAGGTTTCAAAAACGAGCATTTCAAAAAAAAAGAAATTGTAACACTTCTCTTAGTGTCCTCCCAAAAAAAATTATGTAATTCAACATTGAGGCTCAAAATCCAATGAGTTCAGCTTAACTAAAGAATACTTAGCCTCATGAGACTAACAAGTCCAAAATGATACAAGGTTTTTTCAGAAATGTGATACAGCAGAACAAAGCTGCAAATGTGTAAGTCTGATTTATAAATATAACTATTCCATAAAAAAATCTGCTTCAATATTTCTGTTGTCTTTTTAGCTGCATTTTAGCATAAAAATCATTACATTGGACAAAAAAGCATTGCTGGGGTTATAGAAATAGGAATGATTCCGGGAAAAGTGCTATTTTTAGGTAGGACCTAGATTTTCTGAATGCATCATTAACACTAAGAAAGAATGCTTTATTTTCAGATTTGCCATCAGGAAATCCAAAGTACTTTCTTCTTTTTTGAGACACTGTATTTCCATTTCATATCATTAGGCAACTCCCTATCACTGTATGGTGCAGAGGTGTCAGACTTCACTGGGAGAAGAAGTATCTTGCTAGGAATTTCCCATATCAGTGAAATCGGAAGTCTGGTTAAAATAAGAAAAATACATGAAAACCAACCCAACCCCAATCACCATATATAAGGTTGTGAAAATTGTCAGAGAAAATAGATGGTTAAAAAAAAAAAACACCAAAAAACACTGCAGTAGAGCATTTCTTTTTATTTCTAATAATAAAATTTGTTGCACTCCATTTCATTTGTAGTGGCCAAATAGAGGTGATATTCCCCACTTTTGATTTAAAATTGCAAATTAAGGACTTTTACCCATTTCTCTCCCATGTCACACTATCATCAAAAACCAAGTGTATTCGAGGTGTGTTGACTTGAGATAACTGAAAGTCCTCTCGTTTTTTTTTCTTCCCCCTGTTTTAAAACATAACAACTGTTCAAATAGAAAAAATAAGTACCTGCTGTGATCAAATAAGCAGCCACGATATTGTGCTCTGCTGGTGAAAAGACTGAGTGACCTTCCTTCTCAGGTTCCAATGAATCATTCTGAAACATTTTGTAGAATAGATGCTGGGGAACAGCTTCCCAGACAAGTCTTCAGAAGCCATGAAATGTTTTCAGGGAAAGATTTTCAGGACAAATCAGCTCCACTGAGAGACTGAAAAGAGAAGCCCTTTCACTGGAGGGCATCCCCCACTGGACTTAATTGGACTCAACTGCAAATGGGTTACGTTCCCAGAACAAGAGATAAGCTTGTTAGCAGAACAAAGAGCAACCAACACTAAGAATTTTGGCCAAGAGGCTTGGGCATCAATCAGCCTTAAGTCTAAAGAGATTATTAAGTATTGGGGCCAGGCCCTACCCCAAAAGGCTGAGAAAATCCTTCTAGATCTTGTGAATTTGGGTTGTCAGTTGAAAATGTTCTCTAATTGTACTGAACCTAGAAAACAGTTCTGGGATATGTGTGTGTGTGTGTGTGTGTGTGTGCGTGTGTGCGTGTGTGTGTGTGTGTGTATAAGACTGCACGGAGAAAACAGTTCTGTCAGTAGGTACATGTGGGGGTGGGAGATAGGTAGGTGGAATGCAGGATAGGGAGGCAAGATTTGAATTCAGAAGATGGCTTCCTAACTCTAGGTCCAGCACTCTATCCACTGTGCCACCTAGCTGCCCCAGATCAAGAAGCTGAATAGATCTAGCCTCAGACACTTATGAGCTGTGTGACCCTGGGCAAGTCACTTAGCCCCATTTGCCTCAGTTTCCTCATCTGTGAAATGAGCTGGAAAAGGAAATGGCAAACAAGAAAACTCCAAATGAGGTCACGTACATGACTGAACATTAACAAAAACTAAGGTTTACAAAGTGCTTTACATGTGTTAACTCATCAATAATAGCACTTATGAATCTCACGAATAAAACTTTAGATCACAATTTTCTAGATTTGGGCTTTTTATATTTTTCCATACTTGTGTTACTTAAACTGCACCTATTTGTCTTTGCTTGTAATAGTTTCAGCAGCACCAATAGACATCCTCTTCAACCTTGTTACATATAATTTATCCATCATGAAGAGATATTTTTTCACCTCTTTAAAAGTAACACAATTTAAATACTGAAGATATTTAAATTATTACTTATAACATTTTTCAAATTATAGTAATGGAAACAGAAGGGAAGGAGAATCACTATGGAAGAAAAAGGAAAGCAAGATTAGGAAAAATTCTCTCAAAATTAGGAAAAATTGAGGTACACAAGTATAAGTCAATATAAAGCAAGAAGGGGTGGGGGAAATCACTTCACACTTGAATCTCACCCTCATCTGAGCTGGTCAAAGGAGGGAAGCATACTCACATACATGCAGAGATGGTCACAGAAATAAATATTATTCAACAGGGAAATAGGAGGGAAAGGGGAGAAGGAAAAAGGGGGTATTAGAGGATCGATTAATATCCATTTGGTATTTCCTATGTGAACGGACAGGCCAAACTCTTTTGAGTGATTACATATCACTTTCAGGAGGCTCTGCAAAGTCTTGGACCTTGCTGAAATTAATACATCCTCCACCAACAGGAGTATCTGGAGGACTTCACCATCCAGAGAATACTACTTTGACGTGTACTCTGCAGTACATCACCTCCATCATACCACTGCTGATATTATCTCCCTGGTTTTATACTTCACTTGATGTTAACTATCAGAGAGGGTGACTCAACAGTCCTTCCATACACAAAGTAGAATAGAAAAAAAAATGAACTTGAAACTGAACTTACGCATAAAGTTCACATTAAATTCAACATGCAACTAACTCTCCTTATTCTTTTTTCATTGTTAACTCCATTGCTAGTTCTTCCCCCCAAATGAAAGAAAAAGACTTTGTCAGATAGGCCTACTCGAGTAAAACAAATCCTCACATTAACCACGGCTGAAAACCTACCATTCTGAACTGAATCTTGAGTTCACGGCTTCTGTGTCACAAAGTGGGTACTAGGTTTCATCACCTGTCCTCAGGAATCATGGTTGGTCACCGGACTGACCACAGCTCAAAGTGTCAATGTTTTTTTCATTAGGATATTGTTAATGACTGATACACAGATAAGAAAAAAGCTTGTTGAAGAGCTTGTAAGGTGTTGCATTGGATTTTTTTTTTCATAATCAAAAAACAATAAACACAACTGAAACTCCTCTAGAAACGAAGTAATATTCTAGCAGGGTTTCCCGACAGGGTAACCAGACAATGTGAAGTACGCCTGTGTGATAGCACAGCAATGGAAATGGCCTTTCGATAGGAATAGACAACACAGCAGCTTCCTTCAAAGGAACGTTCTGCCCACGTGGATAGATATTTGAAGACAGATTTCTCCCAGGAGGTTACAGGCTGCTCCATAGGACCATCCCAATTTTCCGGAGCTCCTCAGACCTTACGGACCAAACCTAACGTCTTTCCACCAGGGTTGCTCAAAGAAAACTTTTATCATGTAAGAACTGCCAGATCCTAATACTGTGGCCCCAAGGTGTCCATTAGTACCAATCAAGCTCAAACTCAGCCCTAGGTGGACTGCACTCCATGCTGTCCTAAAAAGTGCTGTTCCCAAAGACCCAGGAAGATTAGAGGTCAGAGAGCCACAGTTTCAGAAAAATCAGCATAGCAACTAGCTTTAGTCATCGTGAAGTGACTTCTAAAACTGGGAGTTAATCAATCACTAAAACTGCTTGAATCAAATTCTCAGTTACTGCCTCTGTTGAAATAACAGTAAAACACTGTTCACCTCTTGTCATTTCATTAATTCCATACAGCACTATCCACACATGGTCATTTAATAATTATTCTTTAATAATAAGTATAGCTTACATAAAAGAATTCCTGGATTTGGTTATTGATCTGATAGAGTACAGGATATATAGATTACATTTCTATGCCTTAAAAAACGGGGCAATTACATACAACTTAATGAAGCCATACACAATGTAAAACAGGAGTGACAAATGGTTAAGAATTCTGTTTCTTCCAAAATTTCTCTACAAATCTTTTACTTCTGACCAAGACCACACATTCTTAGTGAAAATAACTAACATTTTAAGAACAGTAATAATGGCAATCAAAGTTTATACTGCAGGAATGTCACACAACCACTAGAGGGCCATATGCATCCATTTATATATCACCATCTCAATTTTGTAAATTAGAATCAGATTTTAGCACTGAGAACCTCAGAGATCACCTCATCCAGCCTTCTCGTTTTACAGATCAAATCAGAGACCATGATCACTGACATTTACATAATACTTCAAGGTTTACAAAGCTCCTTACATACACTACAACTAAGACACAGGTACTACAGGTATTATTTCTATTTTACTGATGAGGAAACTCAAAGAAGCAAAGGCACTTGGCCACCATTAGACAGCTACTAAGTTCTAGAGGCAGAATTCTGAATGAGCATCTCCTGACTCAGACTATTGGTATTCTTTCCACCTCACCATACTGCCCCTTATCTAATCTAGCCCCTGCATTTTTACAAAAGAGGACACTCAGATTTTCCAAACCAAAGATGTTAAGTGATTCACTACCTATTAGAATATTAGTTCTATTAGGGCCAGGACTAGATTTTCTGTAAATTCTTTCCCACACAAATTCTTATGTGGAGTAGAATTAAACTTTTGTAACTGAATTGACACAGCCAGGCCCAGAATTGAAGTTTCCCAATTGCCAAATCTATGCACCTTCCACAACCAGCAGACTCCTGATGTGACCGAATCATTTCGAAAAGAATAAAGATGTAAGGGGCAGCCAGGTGGCACAGTAGATAGAGCTCCAGTCCTGGAGTCAGAAGGACTTGAGTTCAAATCCGACCTCAGACACTTGACACTTAGTAGCTGTGTGACTTTGGGCAAGTCACTTAACCCTGACTGCATCATCAAAAAAAAAAAAAAGCAAAGAAAATATCTTAAACATAGTACACAATGTTTTGCTGAACTTTAATTTTTTACTTTCTCCAAAAAGATTTCCTCAAACTACTGTTATAGGAAATTGAGCATTTCTGTAAACTTAGGATACTTTTTAAAAAAACATTTAAAACCTTTACTAGAAAGCAAATTGGCTAATTTCCTGGAGAGAACACTTGCTTTATTATACGACTTTCATCAAATAGGGAAATCAAGTCCTGAATAAGAATTTTGGATAAGAAGCACATATAAGTCAAAACAGAACTCACCCAAGCTCAGGTGTCTTAAAAACTAGCTATGCTACCATGAACAAGACACTTCACCTCTATTTCCTCACTAGCAAAATGGGAGTAACACTATTTATACTCTGGGGTTGTGGGGAAAGCACTTTGTAAACCATAAAGTGCTTTATAAATGTTAGCTATTAAATTTCTCTTCAACCAAAACTTTTGTCAGAAAAAAATATTGCAGCTCACATCAGATTGCATTTAATCAAATTTTAAAATGTAGGCTGTAAGTTTGTCAGAAAAGCTCAAACTTGCCAGTAAATTTATTTAGACTTAAAAGAATGTAATCTTGCACACATTAAAAAAAAAAGAGGAAAAAGCCCCTCCAACTATGTACTCTGTTGTCCCTAGAGGTATATAGATTGAATATGGAGAGCACACGAGCGCACATAACACATAGTGTTTTTGCAGGTTTCTGCCACCAGTAATATAGAAAAGCTATATTGTGAATAAAGCCTAGCTGGGCCATTAAAAATGTCTATTATAGACATAAAAATACTTAACATACAAGCTTCATGATTTAAAAAAAAAAATCAGGAATCCCACTTTACACACTATTCGTAGCCAGGATACCCACTTGTTTTATCCAAAAGCAACTTAATGGAATACTACCACCAGCGATGTGGTAATTCCCTGAAGGTCTACTCTACATAGACAGAAGGGGAGCCATGGGAACAGTTTAAGTAAGAGAAGATAAAGTTACTCTTCAACTTAAAAGGTTAAAAAAAGTGAACCTCAAAAATATCCTTATCCTGAACTCAAAAACTACATCTCTACAAGTTATGACTTATTTCCGTAAGGAATTCCCAAATAGCTTTTCACACCAACAAATAAGGCAAATATTAAAATAAGACTTGGAATAACAACGTTCAAAGCTAGACAATGATGCTGAGATTTATATTCATATTGAGGACTGAATCCCTGAGTGCTTTTAACTACACCATTCTAATAGGTTACCTCAGATCAGAATATGGATTTAAAAATTCATGCAACAGAAATCAAAGCTGTAAAAATACAACTATAGAAAAAATATACTATTGTTTGCCCTTGGGGCATTGACATCACCCACTAGGGTGCAGTCTGATATTTCTATCATAAGCCAAGAGAAAAAACTTGACCTTAATCCTTGCTGAAATTTGTATTCTAATAGCAAAGTGATAATTAAATCCAGCAGCACCTTTCCTACTCAAACACAAGCTCCAGTTTGCCAAAACCCCAAAGAGTAAAATCACACTTACTTATCCTGACAGCTTGATTAGCCGAGAAAAGACCAAAAATAATTTTTTTCTTCAGAGTACTAATCAATATGGAATTATAACTGAAATTCTTATTTCATTCATAATTCATTCAACAATGAAGTATTAATCAAGAATAGGTTATAAGGGATTACATACTTTGCCCAAGGTATGAAGGGCAAAAGAAAATATTAATAACATCTTTCAAAACTATCATGAGAAAAAAAATTAGCGTAGTGGGACAATGTGAAACTGATAATCTTTCTCGCCAATCTGTGAGCAGTTGGAATAGTTTTATTAGAAGCACTCATGAGAAACCAATGGGGACCACTGATTTAAATGAGCATTATGTGCATATAAATATTCTAAAAATTACACCATGAGAAAGAACACTTTCCTGAAATCAGTATTCCATGCAAGTATTTCTGTATTTTAAATTTGCTTAACACAGTAACATAATTGTCATAAATGATGGATCAGTCTCTGAGCCTATTAATTCAATTTTCTATAGACCGTCAAGCTTACCTTCAACTACTAACAGTGGTCTGGGCAACTCATGGACATTTTAAACCTTTAAATTCTCAACTAGAATTAAATCAGCAGAGTACCCAATAAAAACTCTGAGTATTTCAGTCTTTAAGTTGAAAGCATTACAGCCGCATATTATGGTGTCTAATTTCTAGCCAATACTCAACTGAAGTAACTAACCCAAATTTCTACACTTATTTCTCAAATTTTCTGACTACAGTATCAGTTGGCAAACTTCTTTTTGCCTATCCAATTTATCAAGTTACCTACTGACCAAAGTAGTTAAGGAATCACAATTGTTTTATATAAAGAAGAGAATATAATCATTTAAAAAGGGTTGATGTTCCTATATACAATAGGTATTTATTTGGAAAGAGTTCATTTATCATAGCTCATAAGCACTATAGTACCATATCACTAGCATAGTTCAAACTGGTAAGTTGAGAACTAATTTTAAGCAAATATATTTATGTCTGGGCTACTAAAGCTTTTTAAAATTCATTCAGTGGGCATTTGACCTTCAAAAATGAAGTCAAGCCATAATAACAACAGCTATCAATTTTAAAACTAAGAAAAAAAGATAAATTTTCATATTTAAAAACTCCAAATTACAACAAAAGTATTATTGAACATTTATTAAGCACCCACAGAGTGCTGAGCATTGTACAAAATATATAAAAGATTCAGTCCATGCTCTTTTGGAGCAAAACTGTCTCATCCTTTGCATCCGTTTTGCATGGTGTAGTGACACTGTTGACACACTGTCATAAAGTGACCAGTTCCTTAGAATTGTACTTGCTTTAAAAAAAAACAATCTTCAGATCCACAGCAGAAATAATTCCTTAATTCTTTAGAACGACTCAAAAAGCCAACTGGTGAATGAAGTTTACTTGCCAAAAGTTCCACTTAACGTCCTCTACCTGGAGTAAGAAAAATACAAAGTTAAGAATTTTAGAATTTTTAGTAAATTAATTACAAAATCAAGGTCAAAATCTGCATTAGCACTTATTAATATGTAATTAGTCCATTGATACACAAAGTCGGCTATTATTTTCTAAGGTATCTGTACTCATAAAGATAATCTCTGAATATTACCCACAAACAGCATACTTACAAGCAACAGCTACTCTCTGGATTTATACGATTAAATTTGTCTACTACAGATACTAAGGTACAGATATCCGCACAGATACAGAACCTTTTTAAAACTATATTTAAAACATCCATTTCCAATAAAAATCAAGAAGAATACGGATGTATAATTCAGAACATGCTGTGAAAATTTCTTTTAACTCTCACCTCTGAAGCCTCCGCCTCCTCGTCCTCCTCTGAAGCCTCCACCTCCTCTTCCACCTCTAAAACCACCTGGGGAAAAACACACACAAAAAAAAAACACCTCACAAAATTAGCCTCTTCTGTCATAACCATAAACTCTATTACATTATGAGGGAAATAACTAGTAGGCAGAAGAATGCTACAATCCATTCGCTGGTTATCAAGCAGTATCTTAAAACAAAGTCTTGAACTACAAGTAAAAATTTGTTTTGGTTTCGTTTCTTTTTTAGCGAAGAATTTCATCTGAGGTAAGATATGCACAACAACCAGATATAAATAAAATAATAAAATTATTATGCTGAAGTTTGTGTTTTAAATTATAAAGCCTGGGGACAGCATCAGTGACAAGATCAAAGTAGCCTAGAAAAAATTTTAAATTATTTGCGAAGGTTAATCCTTAAACTACAGTGTAGACTTCAGCACATCATGAACATATTTCCAGAATCATAAGGAGACTATTCTGGCTGAAAGAGAGAATATATATCTAAGAGATCAATGGAACATAGAGTTGTTAAATAGGGTAGGATAAATGAACAAAGGGCCTCGAATGCCAGTCTGGGAAATTTAAACTATCTGGATGGCAATGAGTGGTAATTTGGAGGGAAAGACAACAGAGGGAGGATGAAAACTATGCTTAAAGTTAATCAGAAAGTTGTTTGCAGGGTAGAGTTCAATGGTAACTGGGAGAGAGACAAGAGAGACAGGGATATTAATTAGGAGGCTATTGAAGTATTTCATCTAAGGATGAGGTGATACATTGAATTAGGGTAGTGGTGGTAATGAGATGATAGACACAAAACTTATCTGATTACTGTATTTGAGGGACAAAGAGAGGGGAGAAAAAAGCAAAGACGACGCTCAGTTTCCAATGGAGACTAGTGGTGGCCCTGACAGAAATTGAGAAAGGATACCAACGTGGAGACTGTAAGGGGAGAGGTAAGTTCACTTCCAGGTGTGACACAGGTAACAACAGGACATTCCAGTAGAAGAGAAGATCAACTGATTTTTAGGAGATATGAAACTGAAGACTGGGTAAGAGGTGAGGAACGAAGATTGCAATGTCTTCAGCACAGATAAGAATGAATTAACTTTCCCGTTACAGTGCAAAATATGGCGAGGGACAAATTTTATACATTTAAAAGAGTGGAAAAAAGGACAGAGGAAAAGCATCCGAGATACTTCGAGGGAAGAAGTAGGGGCCGAGCAGCAGCTTAGATGTTAAGTGTGTCAAAAACAGGGCTGGGGAAAAAAAAGCCCCTGTATTTAGCAAGGTGTCAGGCAAAACAGAATGGCGGACTGTCCACACCAGAAAGGGTGAATGCTGCAAAGTATACCTGTATTTAGAGCTCAAAATATGACTGGGGGAGGGGGGAGTTGGGGCCCACACGACACTTGTGATTTTATTGGTGTGGGCAGCTCCCTCATATGGGAACTCTGTGGAGGGATGAAAGTGGTGAAGACGAATGTCAACCAAGTCAGGGAGGAGAGATGAAAAAAGGAGACAGGGTGACGGGATGAAGAATTCATGTACTTTCTAAGGAAAAAACAGTCAGCCAGGGTCTTGCCTCCCCACTACCTCTTGTCAATGTGCTCCATAAGGAAATTTCAGACCTTAACTTAGAACTCAAAAAAAAAAAAAAAAAAAAAAAACCCCAAACCAAAAAAACCCATTTTTCTCTGCTCCCTCCCTACTTTGGCTATTATCACCCCTACTAGTCATCCACAATGTTTTGTTCACAGACCCTATCTGGCAACCACACCATTTTCATTTCTTTCCCCCCTCCCCAGGCTTGACCATCTTGATTACCCTTCTCTCTAGACATCACCTGCTCTGTCAGTTCTCCAGATCATTCATTCAACCATATTTGTTGAAAACCTAAATAAGTGGAGGCAGCTACGTGGCAAAGGGGATAGAGTTCTGGCCTTGGCGTCAGGAGGACCCGAGTTCAAATGGGGCCTCAGACACATGATACTTACTAACTGTGTGATCTTCAGCAAGTCACTTAACCCTGATTGCCTCACCCAAAAAAAAAACAAAAAACAAACAACAAAAACAAAAAAACCACCTGAATAAGTGTAAGGCCTTACACCAAGTAATGGGGGGCCCCCCCACATAAACAGACTACAACTAAAATCTTAACAGTATATACAACTTTTTTAAAAAAACCTAACTTTCATTAAAACTGTTAAATTGCATCAAGAGTCCTAGATTCTACAGGGGCAGGGTGGAACAATGGGGGGGAGGGGACCTAGATATGCTGAAATTAGAAGACAGAAATTCAAATCCTAATTTTACCATTTACTACCATTGTGTGACCTTAGGTAAGTCATTTAAATCCCACAGCCACCCCCACCAGTGACCAAGGTCTTTTCTAGCTACTGACTTATAAGCTCATGTTCTCAAAGAACCATGTTGATCTTGTTTCAATGAACTAATTGAAGATACAGCAAGGCTTTGATAAAAGGTAATCTAAATTAAAATGAGACCCATTAAAAGAGAATCTCATCTGTATTAAGAAATCATATAATAGTAATCCACCCAGTATTTCTTAAATTTAAAATCTGAAAAGCAAAATGAGTGCTACAGAAATAAACTTCACTTCGAAATGTTATTATAGTTTGACAGCAGCAAAAGGAAGGTCAGTCTCCAGGTGGCTACCCCTTCCTTAACACTGCTCTTATCTCCTCACTACATCATTCTGCTCTTTATCACTCCCCACTCCCACTTGGCTGCCTTGCCACAGATCCCTCCTGACAGGGAGTGAAACTGGCCCATGTACACATATAAAGGGGGGGGGGGGGGGGGGGGGGGGAAGGTATAGAAAGAGAGAGAGAAACATATGTACAGAGTTGTATACATAAAACCACGGAGCAGCACCAGGAAGTGAGTCTTCTATATCTCAACTTGACAGGTCTCAGATGCTGCTCTCCTGATAACTACTATAACAGGGGTAATCAATGGCTAGAGTCCAGAATCATTAGCTTCCTACCCCAGGCCCTCAGGTAAACAACTCTACCACTCCCACCACTGGGCTGAAGGGCAGAGGCGTTAACTCACAGCTAAAAGAATTTTATTTGTTAAAGAAAATTTGCTGTTTTCCAAAAACATTGAGAATTTAAGGTAGATTTCAGGTACTACTGAAAATTTCAGGTACTCACTAGTGAAGTTTGACATGTGATTTTACTCTACACACTGAATTTAGAATCACAATGGTTAATCACCTATAACATTGCTTCTGTGGTAAGAGGCTGAGTTTCAAACAATTGCCTTACATTTTGAACAATTCACTCATAAATTGGGTGCAGAAAGGAATAGTTATTTGAACACTCCCTAAGACTTGTGAAAACAAACATGCATTTTAAAGAGCAAAAATCTCAAAGTTCTTTAAAACAAGAAAGAAAAGAGTTCTATAGGCCTCATGCATTTTTTCAAAGCACTGGCAAACTTTCAAAGTCTAGAAAGACATTTTATACAAAGCTGACTAGAACTATGGATCATACAACTTGTATAAAGCATTAAAAATCAGAAACAGTTACATATGTTTCACACATTCAAAAAATCTTTAATGTAATAATTATTCAAGAGCTAGCTACATTGAAAAAAGCGAAATTAATACTCTATGTGACCTTATAACAGTTTCAGGGAAAAAAACAGTGTAAATCAAAACAAAAATTTTTAGGAAAGCAGTAGTGGGCAAAAGGAAAATCTCGTTTACTATTCTCCCTTAAAAGACTAAAATGTCACATCATTACTCAACAAGTTACCAAATTCAGATGGACACTAATCCATTTGAAAATTAATTTATGTAGTTAATGGCAGTTTCAAATTCACAATTTATTAAGTAGTAATAACAAAATTTATTAAAATAAAAAGGTTTTTTTCACCAATTTAACAGATTATGACAAAAGTTTAAGTAGAAATGTTTCTGTCATTATAATTACTCTAGAATTACAGGGGTGGGGAACCTGCGGCCTCAAGGTCCCATGTAGCCCTGTAGGTCCTCCAGTTTGGCCCTTTGACTTAATCCAAAACTTCACAGAACAAATCCCCTTAATAAAAGGATCTGTTCTATAAAATTTGGACTCAGTCAAAAGACCATACCCAAGGACCTAAAAGGACAGAAGTGGCCTCAAAAGGCTGCAGAATTTTGCTCTACAATTTTGCTACATTTTTATTCAAGTAGAGAAGGTGAATACTACGAAAGGTCTTACACCTATTTGTCAATACCTAACTTTCCCTCCATTTCTCAAGGTTTCCTATCCCCCATCAATGACAAGCAGTCCCGCAGGTGCTGTTAGGACAAGTAACTTACCACCTCTGCCTCCTCCTCTTCCTCTGCCGCCTCCTCCTCTGCCACCACCACCTCCTCTACCCCCTCCTCCTCCTCTGCCACCACCTCTAGGAGGTGCTTTTTCACCTGGTGGCCGAGGTAAGAATCTTTGCAGGGGCAGCAGTTTATATGGGTCAATATAAAACTGAGGATACAAGGAAAAAGTATAGTATGAGAACACATACATCAATCATTGCCTAATAACAATTACTTTTGCATTCCCTTATTTGTATTTGCTAAGATATCTAAAAAACCCTTTCAAGATATCACCAGGATGAGAATGTCTGAAAAAAATAATTTTGAAAACTTTAGTTTCAATTTCTACCTTTAAGTGGAGCGAATTCTCCCCAACTCACAAGAGTGCCAGAACAGAGACAAATAGACTGAAACTCAAAACACAAGCATGCTAGCCATTCATAACTGTAACCAAATCAAAAATATTTAGAGTATACAAGACACTGTGTTAAGAGCTAATGGATAACTAGTTATGAAATCTGACCTTGATTATGGATAACAGAAGCTAAAAATTCCAATACAATAAACCTTACTAGGTTACAGTTTTCTTGCAAGAAACGTAAAAATCTTCACAACAAGAAATGTTTTTACTTTAAAGACAATAATAATAGGCTTTTAACTGTAAGTTATGGAAATAAATGTATTCAGAGACAAGCAGCTTCAGCATATGCTCTAAAAAAAAAAATCACCAGAATTCAAAATATTATGTTAACATTAATTTTAGAAGGATAGTATTTTGCTGTTTTACATTACTGAAAGGTAGTTTATTTTCTAAGCAAATCCTGGGCAAAAACATAAAAAATATTGTACTATACATAAAAGGAAAACTACTGACCAATTACTTAATTCCAAATAAACATAAAATTGCATTCAAATTTTGAAAAACTCTGTACCACATATACATCAGAAAAAAGTGCTTTAATGTATCTGAAATACTATGATTCCAAAAACTTTACTTTTAATAAAAAAAAATTATTTCACTAATGAATCTACCAAAGCAGTAATTTGAAAAGATAACTCTTTTCAAGAGAGAATGTAGGTGATTATAAGGAAAAATCTATGTCTGCTTAGCCAGATTTTGAGTTATCATCAATTAGACTTACCTTTTGTAATTTTTTAAAAGAAGAGGCCTTCATGTTTTCTGACAGTTTAACTGAAAAATACTGTTAAGTTTGATTAAGGAATAATAAGAGATTGGAGTACCTAGCCAAGCAAATATTATTCCCCCAGAACTACTGTGCTGTTCCAACAAATGAAAAATTAGGGTACATGGAAAAGGACAGTATATTAAGCAGGTGACAGAAGTCTCCAACTCTCCTAGATTATCCTCTATAGTAAAATTCTACTCCCAGCACCACCTAATAATTCCAAAATCCATAATACTATAACATTATCAGACTTTGTTTTTTAAAGTAAGAAATCTCCATTACCAGGACAACCATATTTCAACCCCCACCTATCTTACAAGTATAGCCCACTTACTGTAAGTTCTTACCAGTAAATTCTAACAATAAATAATAACTCTTACTTTGTTTAAAAAAAAAACAAAACTCTCTTCTCCTCCCTTGAATACTCCCACTTCGGTCCTGGCCTGAAGTTGTTAGATTTTATATTAAACTAGAATGAATTTGAAACATAGTTAATATTGCCAAGTGCTTCTAAGGATGGAAAAATGATGTATCACTGGGTTTAGGGGGAGAAAAAAAGGATACAAAATCTCTAAGCTGTCCAAATATCTCATCTACTTTACCAATCTGTTCTTTGTTTTCTAAATAAACTGGAGCATTGAAATAAGGCACTTTATTTTCATGTGTTATGCATTTGCAAACAATGTCATCTTCACAGGGATGCAAGAACTCTCCTAACACTGAAATAAAAAAAGAAAATGTTAGAATATGAAACATTAGTTCAACCGAATCATCCCTTAAAAATATTCATTTGGCTTTCTGACTTTGTATTACTAAGTCTCCTCATACTCCTATTTCTATGACCATATCTTTTCATTTCTATTTCCTGCCACCTCGACTCCCCCAATTTAATGTGTCCTCCAAAGCCCCCATCTTTCCTATGCTCTCTGTTCTGTCATGTCTTTCTTCCATATTAATAGTCATCACCCTCATATGTTAACATTTAATAAAGAAGCATCTAATAAGTGCCAACTCATCAAAATGTCCATTTGGATAGCACTTCAAACTCATAAAGTTCAAAACTGAACTCATTCAGTCCCCCAAACTGGATATTCTCATTACCCTCCACCTGGAGGCTCAATTTATCTAACTTAACCTTTCTCTTCCATTAATGGAATGTAATCCATCCACTTCTCAGCCAGGTCTTACCAATTTCACATACAACTAACTGTCCCTTCATCTCCATTCCCATTTCTATCATAGTGTTCCAGGTCCTTATCTTTAGCTTGACTACAGCAACATTCTTTAGGTCACTTTTAAAATTCCAACCAATGATCCCTTTAATTCCACCAATCTTTCAAAAGCACAATTTTTATTATCATTCCATAGTGCAGGTAATTCACATTGAACTCAATTCTTCCCACATGAAGCCTAGATTCCAAAACCAACCCTCAAGGATCTCTAAAATTCAGCCTCACCTTACCCATCCCACGAAACTTTCCCACTATTTCCCAGTCTCTCCCCACTTCATTCAGCTAGCAATCATTTTCCTAAAGCTAAGTCTATGTCACCATCATCCTCTTCTCAATTAATAAATCTAGTGGCTTCCTCTCATCTCCAGAATCAAGCATAAAATTCACTTTTTGGCGTTTAATGCCCTTCATAACTTGGACCCTTTCTAGTTTTCAAGTCTTCCCGGATCTTTTTCCTCCCCACACATACCGTGCTCTGGGACGCAGTGACATTAGTCTCTTCGCTGTTCCTTACCTAAGACGCTCCATGTCACACCTGGGCATTTGCACTGGCTGGCTGTCCCTCATTCTCAGCATGCTTACCCTCCTCACCTCAACCTGCTGGCTCCCTCCCTTCAAGTCTCGCTAAAGAAAGAAATCTTTCCCGGTCCCCCTTAATCTCAGAGCCTTCCGTCTTAAGATTCTCCTTATTTGTGAGTTGTCTGAACATAGTGGTTTGCGTGTAGTCTCTCCCATCCGACTGCGGGCAGCAAACTCGCCTTTATATCTCTTACCGTGCAGCTGTGCCTAGCACATACTAGGTGCTTAATAATGTTCGATGACGTGATCACATCCAATCGAGGCAAAATTACTCTTCCCTAGAAACGCTTCTTTCTCCCCCCCCACCCCAAATTAAAAACCTAGCGCCTCACTTCTTCCCCAAAGCGGATTTCGGCTCTGATTTAGGTTCCTGTTCTCCTGGCTCAAGCTCAAAGCCGCAACGGGGTGCAATGGTCCCGCACTTTCTGCTACTCTTTGCTGCAGTTCGAGTCGGTCCCAGCTCCCCCCACTCAGAGTTCGGGGACACGAGGGGGTGCCCTAAGCCTCTCCCGGAGTTGCCACCCCCAAGACATCCCGGCACGTGGGCCAGAGGAGGCCCGCGCACTCCCGTGGGCGTGACCTACCGACCACGTTCTCGGGGGGTCCCTCGTTGTAGCCGCCCTTCTGGAAGCCTCCGCGGCCACCCCCTCCTCGTCCGTAGCCTCCCCGGCCAAAGCCGCCTCGGTCCCCGCCTCGCCCTCCTCGGCCGCCGCGGTCCCCGCCTCGCCCTCCTCCTCCTCCGCCGCCTCGGTAGTTGCCGCCGCCGCCCCGACTGAAGCCCCCGCGGGTGTAGCCGCCTCCGCCCGCCCCGCGGCCTCCTCCGCGGCCTCCGCCTCTAAAGGACATGCTCTCCTCCTACCTGGGGAGGGGGGAAGGGTCAGCACCGCGGAGTCCCTGCGAAGTTGGGGAGCCCGGCCCCCACCCCGCGCCTCGCTCTCACCTCCGCTCCGTCCCCCACATGCGTCCGGAATCCCCGGCTCCTCGAGCGCCCTCACGCTTCACCCACCGGCGCCTCGTGCTCCCCACTCTGGAGGCGCGCACTCACTCCTCCGCGCCTGCGCGGGGACTCCAGCCGCACGCTCGCTCGTCCCCCACCCCACCACCCGGAGCTCGCTCGCGCCCCGCCCTCCGCCCTCTGCCCTCCTCGTCTGCGCCTCAGCAACGATTTCCCTTCCTCGGAGCCCTCCCTCAACCGCCGCCGCCACCGAGACAGAAAAACGCGGAGTGGGGAGAATGGACCAGAGTTTGACCAACTTAGTCACTGAGAAAGAGCCAAGAGGCTCGGAAAAGGGGAAAGCCGCCGGCAGGAGGCAGCCATGATTGCCTTTTCAGCGCGGACTACGTAACAGAGGGAGCCCGCCGACGTCCGCCGGGCGCGACCTTTTTGCGACGCGGAAGTCGGGGATGATAACGGCAGGCGCCGGAAGTGAGGCGCTGGGGGCGGAGCTGGCCCGGCGAGTGCTACGTCACCAGTCCGGCTCTCTGCCGCCCTCGCCGCTTCTCAGACTTGGGAACCAGTCATGGCTTCCTCCGCCCGCCGCGCCTTCGCCGGGCGGCCCCCTGCCCCTCGCCGAAGAGCGTTCGCTGGGCCGGGGTCCGGGAGGCTTGGGCCCGGGGCTCGTCCGAGGGGCCTGTGGTGCCCGCTGCCGTAAAGTGCCGACACGGCGCCCGGTAGGGAGTTGATGTAGGTTAGCTGTTACTGTTACTGAAATAGGGAAGAGGGGTCAGTGCACGAGTGAGGAAGGGATTGCCCCCAGAATCAACCTCCTCCCCCCCAGGACCCTTCCCGTGGTGACGTCCTTGGAGTCGAGCGAGGTAAACTTTAACGGAGACACATGTAGTGTGAATTTCACGTACAGTCCATCAGCTTGCCCGAGTGCTTGTCACGAAGACGTCTGGCTGTGAATTAATTACGGGCCTGTGCGGTTCATGAAAAACCCAAGGTTTTAGGTTTCTGTCGGGTGGGGTGGGAGCTGGAACTCTGCCCACCCGGGGACACCAAAAGCTGCAGTGGCGTCATGGTGTGCCCTGGCACAGAGTTCAGGGTCAGACCCCCTCTGGTCCAAGCACAGGCTTTAGTGACGCCCCTCGGAGTGGGGCTGGGGGCCAAGAGGAGAAAGCAGGATAAAGATGCAATTACACCACACATTATGGATATTAAAAGGGCAGCAGGAGTTAAGAGATCAGGTAATAGGGAGGGGTCCCTTCTGTGGTTCGATGGTCCCACATCCTGGTCCTGCTGCTTTCTAATTGGCCAGCTGTTGTCCTTTCTGGTCAAGATGGATGGTTAGGTATTGTGGTCCTGTCTTGGGCTAAATGGATGTTGTGATTGTGGTTGAGTGTGAGAACATACTGTTCAAATAGGTGAATTGGATCTGGGGGCAGTGGCTATATTGAGTCGGGGGGCCTGAGATGTGGTTGAAGTCAGATCTCGGGGTTAAATCAGGGCATGCCTGCTGTAATAAGGAAGTTAGAATATTGGGGCTGGGAGCAACTTTGTTAGGATGCCATCATTTGTCTCTTACATTTTATCCTACTGTGTTATGAGAATCTCATAGCTGAAAGGGTTGTGGTTGACTTGGGGCATTTAAGGCCCCAAGAAAATTGGAGGAAATCACTGAAACATTCTATTCTTGGAAACTCCTTCAATTCCATTCCAAAATGCAGTTCTTAAAGTTTTGTTCAACCAACAAGCATTTATTAAGTAATGAGAAAGGAATTTATAATTTTCGTATCAATATGATATGTAAAATCAATATACTAATAATTTAGTTTTCTCAAGAGCTGCCTCTCTGAGTCAGAGCTCACAATGCAGCTTGAACTGATTGATCAAAACTGACAATGCTCATAATCACTGGACCTTAATGTGAAGCAAATCAAAGACTGAAGAATCTGTTCTGTTACAGAACTCTAGTTCTATACTTTAAGGGAGGTAGTCACAATGCCCAACCCAAAGACTTGACTCCAGAATTGTATTGTGGGACTTAAACAGGTTTCTCTCGTGGTAAACCGGCTAAATGATTGGTTGTAATCCACCTTCTCTCCCTTTTATAAGTATATGATCTGTGCTTTTCAGCTAAGAGAACATTCCTCACTCTGAAATTGATTAAACTACTTGATTATTGGCACTCCCATCTCTAGGCCTGCTTTGTGTGGCTCTGAGCATTCTCAGGCTAGAGACTGGCTCAGTAAAAATCCTCTTAACAAGTAAGCACCTATTATTTGGTACAAAGGGACACAAAGACAAAATGAAACCATCCCTGTTGTCAAGAAACTTCCATTCTAAATGGGGAGATAACACACAAATAGAAGAATATGCAGAATAAGTTTTTTTTTAAAAAATTAATAGAAGGTAGCTAGGGAGGGAGGATGCCACAGTTGGCATCAGGAAAGGCTTCCTATAGGTGATACAGAAGCTACCTCTTGAAGGAAGTGAGGAATTCTAAAGCAGGGGTAAGAAGGAAGTGTATTCCAGATGTGGTAGATGATGAGTGCAAAGGCAGGAAACATCCAGTTTGGCTGGACCACGAAGTGTGGGAAGGGCAGTAATGTGTAATGAGTCAATATATAAAAGTCAATCAGAGGACTTTCTGTTCTGTCCCATGTCTCCCTTTATGCTCAAAAACCCCTCATTTGATCCTTCTAACCCCTCCCAGCAGTCCTATGTCATTTCTCCTCCCCTTTGTGACTAAACTGGGAGAGTGTCTAGTGATCAGCAGCAGCGGTTTATTGCTTCTCTTAACTCTGCAGTCTGGCTTCTGACCTCAACTGAAACTGCTCTCCCTAACTTTACCAGTAATCTTTTAATTACTACATCTAATGGTCTTTTCTCAATTCTCATTCCTTTTTGACCTTTCTGCAGCATTGCCTCATTGACCTCACTAGGTTTTCCTGACACTGCCCTCCTCTGGCTTCTGTCTAACCTATCCCCAGTCTTCTTGCTGGAATTTTCTACAGGTCACATTCCCTAACCTTAGATGTTGCCCAGGGGTTGGGCCTTCTCCTTCCATCCTATTTTGATTGATGTTCTCATCTGTTCCTGTTCACACAGATTCAGTTATCCCTAGGCTGATGATTTTCAGATCTCTTTTTCTAGCTCTAATCTCTCTTCTGACCTTCAGTCTCAAATCTCTAGCTGCCTGTTGGACATCTTGAACAGGATATCCCATAGACATCTTAAAACTCACCATGTACACAAATGAACTAATCACCAAAGAAAGAACTATGGAGTTTGAATGCAGATCGAAGCATATTATTTGCTTTTTTTTCTTCTATTTTGTTTCCTCTTTCTTGTGGTGTCTTCTATTGGTTCTAATTCTTCCTTACAACATGACTAATGTGAAAATGTTTAATAGGAATGTATATGTATAGCCTGTATCAGATTGCACACTGTCTTGGGGAAGGAGGGGGAGAAAAATTTTTAAAAATATAAGCTTATGGAAGAGATTGTTGATAAATCAAAATAAATTAATAAAAAAATTTTTTTTAAGTGAACTAATTATTTTTACTCCTAAATCCTCATGTCTTCCTCACTTTCCTATTACTATAGGCAGCACCATCCCAGTAACCCAAACTCCCACTCTGTCATCCTTGATTTCTTAATGCTACACACACATGCACACGCGCGCAGCACACACGCGCACACGCGCACACACACTGTGTTAAACACTGGAAATACAAAGAAAGGGAAAAAAAATTCTGCTCTGATAGAGCTCACAGTATAATGTGGGAGACAACATTCAAACTACTACATACAGTTTATACACAGGAAGGATAAATTGTACATAGCGGAAGGAAGGTGTTAGTATTAAAAGAGATAAGGAAAGTGCTTCATAAGTGGATGTAGACTGAAAAAAATATATGCTGGTATTTTTTAGGATTATGTGATTTAGTGAATTGACGGGGGCAGTCCAATGTGTGTTATTTCAGGAAACCCTATTATTTTAAGTAGTGTGGGAGAAGAGAAAACCTGGCACTGGCTAAATTGTCCAGCTTCTCATTTTACAAGGAAAAAAAAATGAGAACCAGGAAGCTAAGTGGCTTGTCCATGGTTAATTGAGTATAGCAAAGACTAGGAACCTGGACCTCCAGCTCTAATTTAAGACTTCCAGAACTAAAGGATCTCAGCTTTGGAAAAGCTGTAACAGGTCATTTTTTTACAACCTGTAGCTTTTACAATGTCTCTGGCAAGTGGACATCCAACCTCCATTGGAACACCTACAGGAACCACCTTACAAGTTGATAGTCGCCACTCTACATTCTCCTGTCCCTACCAAGTCCTCTTCAACAATCTTGGGTCTCAAGTACTATTTGGAGTCTCTTGTGACTACCGCCTTCCAGCTAGTCCTCATGCCTCCCTCCCTGTCCCCTTCCTACCTCTACACTTCTCTTAAGGGCGTCAAACTGGTGGTTCAGTTCAGCAAAAGGTCATTGTCTCTGGTGAGAGCTGGCATGCCCCAAGAGCAACAGATTGGAAGTGGGGAGGAGGGAGAGAGAAGTATTGGTAAAATTCCTCCATTAGTAGCCACCACAAAGGGAAGAACATTTGATTATCCAGTTTTGTCCCTTTCAGGCTCCAGACCCTCCAGGTTAAACCCTTGGCCACTGCCCTGAAATCAGTGTATAGATGAAAATCTTACATGCCTAATCCATCAGGATGCTGTCACATCAGCCATGGGCCATGCTCTAGCACACATGTGCTTGGGTCTTTCGGCAGTCCTGCACCAACCGACAGGAGGACTGGTGAAGATGTTCAGCTTCTTCCAAAGTAGCTATGTGTTCTTAGAATTGATTTCCCACTTTTTCTCCCTCCTGTCCTTGACTTTCCTGTTGTTGATACACTGTAAGCCACCAGGTGCCATTTGTCTTTACCATCTACACCAGGCTTAGCATTGAAGATAGAAAAATGAAAGACTATCTCTGACCTCAAGGGTCTTATAATCTAGTCTATTATAGAAAAGCACGATAACTACCATAATGTAAAGTATAAGTGCACGAGAAGGCAAAAAAGAATGCTGTGAGAACTTCAAGACCTTGAGAAAAGAGGGATTTGTTTATGTGGGGTCCAAACTTATCCTCTCTGCATGAGGTAGAGCTCTGAGCCATTAGCCCTTTATTAAATGGTCCATGTCACCCTCTAATGAAGTAGACCTCACATCTCCCTCATGACCTGAGATGCCCCCTCTCCTTAAATTCTTAGTTTTATAGTGCTTGCTATCCAGGTGATACAGAAGAGGTGAGGTAAAACACGTAGTCTCATTGATTGATAGACCTATATTTTGACCTTCCAGGAGGACCTTCAGTTAGTGCTTGCTATAGATTAGCTGATAGAGGATATCCAAATATGGGCAGAGCTGATGGTCTTTCATGAGCCCCATGTTGGGCAATAGATTGGAGAAGAGATTCAAAGGCAGCTCTTGCAATGTGAAGATTGGTCAAGTACTCCTAGGACCTGTTGGCCAAGTGTCATGGGGCCATTTTCCTAGCAAAGGGATAACAAGGGTGGAGGTACAATCAAAAATAGCTGGGGGCACTTTCCATGCTGTTGAGTCATCTTCCACCATATTGGACTTGGTCATTTACTCATCAGGATTAAGCAAGTGGATTCACTAGATTTACTAATTGTCTATCAGTAGACAAATTCAACAGTGATAATCACGGCCGTTATGGGATCAAACTCAACTGAATGATACTAACCAGGGGTCTAAATTAATCATTTTCTACACGTACAACTAAAAGGTATCAGAGAAGGCTTCAGAGGCATATCGCCTAAGTTGGGCATGGATGGAAAACCAGGATTTTAACAGGCAGAGATGTTTGGGGAAGACCAGTAGGATGCCATCATGAAGAACAGCGTACACGAGGTGAGAAAAGGCAAGACAAGCTAGATTATGTAGAGTAGTTTCTTTTGGCTAGAATCGCTAGACCGTAAACTACATGAGGGGAAATAAAGGCAGATTTTCTCATTGACATAGCACTTGTAGATTTGCAAGTGTTTTCCCCACAACAGCCTTGGGAGGCACGCATGTATTAAGATGAACATTTTACAGATGAGCAAACTCAGGTTAAATGACTCGATAAGTGTCTGTGGTAGGACTTGAGAGTGAAAATCTTGTGATTCCAAGAGGTACATTCTTAAAAATAAGAGTAAGGTACATCTGGAAAAATAGGTTGATGCCAAATTGTGAAAGACCGTGAATGCCAGGCATTATATTTGGTAAAGAGTGAGGAGCCAGTAAAGATTCTTCAGAAAGGCCAGCTAGCATACATTTGACCAACACCACAGCAGCTGATAATTTGTGCTAATCCCTGACCTTGTCTTCAAAATATGTCCTGCTCTGAGTTTTCCTGTCTTCTCAATAAAGGGATTAGGCTTGGTGCTGAGAGAAATGATTATTTTCCTACCATATTAATTACCAATTATTAAATTAGGATTGAGGTTTTCCCTTTTTATTTCCTTCTTCAAGGACCAGCCCTTGTAAGTCATTCAGTCAGTCTCTGAAGGTGATTGGTGATAGATGTGAGCCCAGATCCTCCAGGTATATGCTCCTTGATCTTGGGCAGGACCCCACCTAGAAGATCTTACACACAGAGTCTAATTAGGTGAATTCTTGCCCTTAGGACATAAGCCTCTGTTCTTGGAACCTTTCATTAGAACTTAGGGTGACCCAGTTTATGAAGGAAAAAACCAGAGTGGTCTGGGTAGACATGAATTAATTTGTCCAGATTGCTGGAGGCAGCTGAGTCTCACGATCAAGTTACATTCTTAATGCGGGGAGCAGGGGCAGCTAGGTGGCGCAGTGGATAGAGTACTGGCCCTGGATTCAGGAGGACCTGAGTTCAAAATCTAGCCTCACAAACGTAACACTTATTAACTGTGTGACCCTGGGCAAGTCACTTAGCCCCATTGCCTAGCCCCCCAAAAAAGAATTAATGGGAGAAGTGGACTTCTAGCCCACCTTATTAATATACCTACCCCCTCATTAATTAATTGTTCATCAATTGGAGTTGATTTTCACCTGTCAGGGTACCTCCTTTTCTAAAGATATTTAAGCATTCACAGATCTCCATGCTTTTGTCTTTGGTTACCAAGACCATTGACGATCAATTTATTGATTATTTGTTAGCCTGATTAATTACCCAGAAGCTCAGGCTTTTTATTCGTCACAGTGCTTCATTCCACCACTGCCCCACCCAAGATTTCCTATGGAAGTTGCCACATAAAGTTGCTGATAACAGAGATAGAAACGGATCCAATGTTTAGGGTTTCCCCCTAAAGGTTGGGGGAGGTTAAATTAAAGAGACCCAATGTATAAGCACGAATCAGGTATGGAACGGGGTTTATTCCCACACAAGAAAGGGTGAAGAATCATGGCATGATTATAGCACAGAATCCGATTGGACCATCGGGTAGCAGGCAACTATTCTAATTCCTTTCACCACCACTGAACACAAAGATTGATCAGATCCTAAGCAGGATCTTTCCACTGGCTTCTGTTTCTCTTCACTGACATCCCTTTCCTCACTCGCCACCAGTCTGCTCCCACTGCTGCTGCTGCACCTCGAGAGTGCTTTGGTAGGCACTGTTGCTTCTCCAACACACTTCCAGGATTTTTTGATGCTCACAAGGTTGATCTCAAAGGAAAGAATCCCAAAAAGGAGGCAGAGGCAGCCAGGGGTGCTGGTACAAGCCTGGCTGAGTTTGAATCCACATGGGAACCAACAGCCCCCAATTCCATTTTGACAGGATAGAGAAGGCCCTCCTGCACCCCGGGGCTGAATTCATATCTTGTTGCATAAAGTGTGAGAGCTAGGAATCCTGCTAGTTGGTAACTACTCTTCTTCTGTCTTGTGTGTCATCAGCTTTTTCCCTCAGCAGCCAGTCAGGGGAATTCAACCCAGCCATGAGTCATACATAGCCCAAATCAGGAAAGTTTCTACTCTGTTACCTGAGGACAGGAAGAGAATAGCTGCATCTGCCCTGGGAGGATGGGCCTGATTCCATGCCCTTGACTGGAATGCCCCTGATAAAGAAACCACTAGAGGTCACTAGAGGTATAACATGGTCAAAGCTGTGCATCAGAAGCTCATTCTGGTAGTGGTGTGAAGGATGGATTGGAGAGGGCAGAATCAATAGAAAGCTAATTTTTAGCTTCAGCTTTGAGCAAGAGAAGGTGAAAGCCTGAGTGAGGGTGGTAACTTTGTAAATGGACGGAAAGGTACCAATGGAAGAGGTACTTCAGGGGAAGAATGTACTAAGACTTGTCAACTGATCAGAGGTGGGGAAAGAAGATGGGAGGAAGAGGGGAACGTCCAAATGCCTTTGCTTTTGAAGTTACATAGACAATATTCACTCCTCTGATAGAAAGGAGAGCAAAGAGTACTCAAGAAGCAGAAGATTGATACAAGAGATATTTGAGTTTAAATTACAATGAATACCAGTACCACACCAAGCTGGGATAGTAGAAAATAACCATTTTTTAATTTTCCAGCGATTAATATTGTATCCACACTTCTCTTCTAGTACATGCATTAAAAGTTAGATATAGCTAGGTAGATATATGGATAGATACATGAAATAGAGAAATAAAGCTAGGCAGATAGAGGTGGAAATTAGATAAAAATAGAAATAAAAAATAAATAAAAATAGATTGATAGATGATAGAGGGAGATAGAGATGGATAGATTATAGAGCAAGATGATCAAGAACCAGAGATGAATGATAGGATAGCTAAAGATAGTTGATAGAGATAAAGGGGAATGGATAGATAAGAGACAGGTGATAAATGATCAAGATAGAGATGTAGTAAGATATAGATGTAAATGAGAGATAGATGATCTAGACTAATATGTATCTATATGTATATAATAAAAGTGTACAAAGTTTCATATACTATTATAAATTTAATTTTCAAACTAAAGCAGTGATAGGTTTTCAGAAACTTCCAAATTAATTACCTGAACTGCAGCCTCATTCATCTCCATCCTCACGTGAATTCTTGTCCCTTCTGACTCTAGTATACCAGAATGTTTAAGTTGGAAGGGACTCCCTTCATGAAACATGAAACCTGACATGCTTTGCTTAAATACCTAAGGTGACGTGAAAGTCACTATCTCACAGGATATCCCCTTCCATTTTTGGACAATTCTAATTATCAGGAAGTTCATTTCATTGGTTAGAAGACCTCTCTTCCTGTAACTTCCACCCAGGTTGTTGTGAGGATCAAATGAGATAATGTCTGGAAAGCACTTGTAACTATCAAGAGGTACATTGATGTAAGATATGAAGCAGAGCAGAGATAACCTTGGTTCTCAAAAGCTATGCCAGAGGAGTTCAAATTCTGGCAAGTCTTGCCAAGACTTAAAGTATGCAACCAATGAGAAGGTTTTTACTGGCATCTTATTTTGTATATTCTTTAATTTAATAAGTCTACTTTTCTTCACTTGCTTTTTCTCTGGGTCCTTATGCTCATTAAAACTACTACTAATTTCATATTATCAGGCAAACCATGGAAAGATAAGCATGAAAGCAGGAAATATATCCAGTTGGCTGCATGAAAAAAAAAACCTGGCTTAAACTTAATTTCAACTCTGTCTTCATTATTTGCTGAAATCTTGTACTCTAAGAGGATAGAAAAAAATAAGCTGCTTTTGTTAGGAAATGCAGTTCCTGTTGGTTACCAACCTTACTGTTTACTGGGAAGCCTTTTTTTGGTTTCATTTACGGTAAAGCTTATCAGATGGCAACCAAAGTATTTGAGAGTTCAAAAGTACACACCTCTTACATGTTTTTCTCTTTTTTAAATATTTTTACAGAGGTTAAAGATTAAAAACTCAGAGAAGATTCAAGGTGGAAAAGAATCCTGGACAGAAAGACCATTCTACTCAACAACATGAAACTAGTTCATTGTCTTCTCTTACTTTTGTGTGTTGGCTTATGTTTTTGTAAGGTAAGTACTTTATTCTTTCTGAAAATGTTTTCTTTTAAAATAGATATATAAGCCAAATATTTTGAATACTAGCAATAGGTCTTTGGATTTTAGAATGCTCAACTAACAATACTTTGGTTTAAATATCAGGTGTTTCAAAAGCCTGGAAGCAGATTCTTAGTAAGTATTTTTAAAAATAACCTTGTAAACTGTATTGGCCTATATAAATATAATTAATCATTATTATTCATTCCAATCATCAAATTTTACTGTGCTTTAGGGATATAAGGATCATCAAAATATTTTAAAAGATTCAAATATAAATTACAATTACCATTTTTATAGCTTGTATGTCAAAATTAAGACAAATTACATTGATGAAAACTTATAGACCATAAATATCAATTATTATTAATTTTCATTAATTTTATAATTTATTTAATTCTCAAAGATTAATTATCTATTATGTTTTAGGCATGGCCCTTGCATGTGCAGCTTCCGAATTGATATGCCTGAAGCAGTAGTAGATAGCTGCTCTTGCCACCAGAAAGAACTCGGTTCAGTTCCCACCTTTGATACACAGTGGTTAGGGGCAGCTAGGTGGTGCAGTGGATAGAGCACTGGCCCTGAAATCAGGAGGACCTGAGTTCAAATCCGGCCTCAGACCAAACACTTGACACTTACTAATTGTGTGACCCTGGGCAAGTCACTTAACCCCAATTGCCTAAAAATAAAAGAAAAAAAAAGATTCACAGTGGTTGAGTGACCTTGGAGGAATAAATTAACCTTTCACTATTCCAGGCAACTCTAGGATTATAAATTGCAGAGAAGGTGGTAACCTGCATTGATAGAGTGAGTTTTTTTTCACCTGGACTTCCCTATACCAGTGAAATTACAGTTTCCCTCCTCATCCTTAATCAAAATTCTGACCATGTCACTGCCTCCAGGATAAAACACATATTCCTTCTTTCGGCAGTTGTAAAGCCATTCAAAATCTGATTTCTAGCCTGTTTTGCCAAACTGGTTATATAGCTAGTGCCAGAATTACTCACACAAATAAGGATTTAGTATAGTTTATTATATTTTATTTCAACTTCAGTAGCCATCAGATTTTATAAGAAGGGGCCTATAAAATGACAGTGATGAAAGGCTAATGAACAAGAGCAGGGAACAGTTCATTTGGCTAGGAAGGAGCCATCAATCACAATGCTGGCTAGAGAGGCCAAATCAGCTTCTCCTGAACTCACTCCTCTTCTCAAGGAAGAAGAAATTGTCTTAATTGAGAAACTAATGTTGAGTCAATCCCTCTTTAAAGCAAGTGGGTAGAAATGCCTAGTTCCCAATTGGTGTCCCATAATCTTACCAGCCTGCTAATGACTTAGCTACCAGCTTCTCTCTCCCAAAATTAAACACCGTTTCAAAAAATTCAAATCCAAACAGGTCACCAATTTGTGAAGTCTAGGATGGCATCAACTTGCGTCTCCCATCTCCATAGAGGTATTCTCAAGACAGGTGCTACATATACATCTCTTGCATTTCCTTATGTGTGTCCATGTTATATTCCTTAGTAGAATGTAAACTCTTTGAGGGCTGGAGCCATTCCACTTTTGTCTTTGTATCCTCAGCATCAGCACAATGCCTGGTACATAGTAGGTGCTTAATAATGGTGCAGCATGATCTTACTCCCTTGCGTTTCCCTCCTCCCAGGGTCCTGTCACCATGGCACCCTCCACCAACCACTCAAAAGGTCTGAGTCTCTTGGCAATGAGCCGCCCCCTCTCCTGGTGCAAGTCCATCCAAGATCAAACTGTCTCCTCGATCACTTCCATGACCCCCATCCCCTAAAATTTTTTCTCTAGAATTCCTAGTTATAGCTCTGGAAAGGCACACTATATGGAGAAGTCAGTGTGAAGGCAAGTGGTCAGTAGGGAAACCTAAAGACAACTAAGTCAGTTTAACTGGAAGAGCTGCAATGACTTGTGTAATGAGGACAGGACACAGAAAGAAGAGGTAATGTGTTAATAAGATTAAACAATAGAAAAACATTTTTATTGAATTATTCTTTTTTCTTGTAGGGACATCTTCAAATTTAAGAACTCTAGCAATTTGTTTCTCCCTTAATGTCAGGTTCAAAGATTTCAAGCCAAAGGGACCTAGTTTGTGTTCTAGGAAACAGCATTCATTTCCAGGGAAATCAAGTGTTTGCCAGAAAGGACCCAAATTTTTTTTCCCCTATTTTGGTAGATAGTGAGAGGGGTGTCTAGAGCTGTGATAAGGGACTCCCCATGAAGCAAACTCTTCACGGTTGCAGGTTAGCTGTAATTTTATCGTCTTAGAGAATTGCCTCGGGCCACTGAGAAGCCAAATGACTTTTCCCTGATCACATAACCAGTATGTGTCTGAGGCAGGACCTTCAATCCAGGTTTTCATGGAAGAAGGCCAGCTCTCTTTTCACTTCACTACAGGATCATTGAAAGCATTGTACAAATTAGCCAAGACATTTATGTTAAAAAATACTTACAATGATTTAAATTGATTGCTTTCCATTTTTTTAAGTATCAAATATTGCCTTACTGGTATTGCATAGCAGCAAAGGCCTCCAGATTCCAATGAAAAGAATTTTATGTTGGTTTTAGAATCACAGATCACATCTATACTATACTATACTTCTTCTTTCTGACATTAACTTAATACTTATCTGTGTTTTATAGAGTTTATCACTAGTTCAAGAGGATCTTCTGGACAAAAAATGCTTAAAAGAAAAATACACACGTCAGTCTTGTGAAAAAGTCTTCTGCCACCCATGGGAAAAATGTATTGAAGGAAAGTGTCATTGCAAACTTCCTTACCAATGTCCAAAGGCTGTTAGGCCTGTGTGTTCGAATACTGGAAAAACCTATAATAATTACTGTCAACTAAAGAGTCATGAATGCCTTTATCCGAAAACAAAGTTTTTCCTTAATGGAACTTGCCATAGTCAAGGTAGGAAAGCTCCAGTATTCAAAAGAAAAATGGTCTGCTGGCACTCCTTCTCTCTCTCCTCTGGGATAAGGGAATGGGTACCTAGGCATGCTAATGATTAAGGACAATCAACAGACCTAGGGTAAGAAACGTAAGTGGAGGGAAAGGGGAATGCTCATAAAGACTAATAAAATGTGCTGAAGTCAAAGCTGTGAATTCAGGGAGGACCAGCAGGCTAAACAGAAAGTTGGTGATCATAGTCCAAGGTAGCAAATCCAAAGCCAGGATTAGAAAATGTTTGCACAGAGTAAAAGTAGCAAAGTACCAAAAGAAGAAATACCGAGCTTCCACGAGTGGCATTTTGGTCACATGGAACCTCCACTGTCTCGGGTGTTGTCTCAATCCCCTTTGCTGAGGGATGCCCAGGACATTGTGGGCCCAAATACCAACCCTTTCCCTAGAATATCTACCTAGAACCCAAGAACATGGCTTTTGGGATACCCAGTAGAAAGTTTCCATCAGTTCCAGGATATGCAAATTGCACTGTGGACCATAGCCCTTCAGCCTCTAATTTATTTATATCATGAACTTTTATATCTTGTGTCTATTTGGAGCTTATCATAGTGTATGGCTGTGGCATCCAAAATTGTCCAGTCTGCGAGAAAAACCACTGAGGCAGAGCTCCAAGCCAATAACACTTTATTAAAGGGTCCATGGCCCCCTCTCATGAAGTTGACCTCGGATCTTTCTCATGATCTGAGATGCCCCCTGACTCCAGGGACTTAGTTTTTAGTGCTTGATAATGAGACACAGAAGGGCCAAATAAAATACAGAGTCTTATTGGTTGTGATAGAACTTGATTTTGACCTTCCAATAGGGCCAGAAATGATGCATCAACATGGGTAGTAGCAGGACGGGCAAGTCAAGGGTCATCTCTGCTAAGTGGTCATAAGTTGGGCCCCTCCTCATGTCAGGCAAGAGAGGGTGGTCTGGAGGTACAAAAATAAGTTGGGGGAATTTCCATATCACATCAAGACATCCCACCCACACTGGGCTGGTCATGCACTCATCACTCAAGAGAGTGGAAGTCCCCTAGTCAGCATTCTCGTGGTTAGGCAAGTGACCTTATAGCTTGTAATTTAAAGTTTGGGGCCTATTATAAAAAAGAATCTATCTTGTCTAATTATCCCTAAATATAATGTATGTGAAATATGTATTAATATATATAATTCCCCTATTAATATTCGGTATCTAGCCTGACTAAATGCATATTACTGTTACTAGCTAAGTATAACACTAATAATCATTTACCCCTATGGAGTCACACTAAACTTATTATTACTGATTGGAGCAAAATAGGGGTCTAATTAAAATTATCTTTGTCATGTTTGTTTAAGTTTTTTCCAGCCTAATTTCCAGCTCTCCTAGCAGACTTTGTCAGAGTCAGCCATTATTCCAGTAGTTGGAATTCTTGGCCTTAATGGGCACTGTGGTGCTGTGTTCATTTGCTTCTGGATATTATAAACCAAATGTGTACCACTGATCAACTTTTCTACTTTTAAGCCCATATGAAAAAATTTTGATACATTCTGTTTTGTAGTATGCTGTCATTTTGAGGGTGTTTAAATTTCATTATTGAAATGATCTGTTGTTTCTATGATTCGTTCTTTACCATACCAATTCTTTAGGATTAAATTCTTTAGTCTTTATTTAAGTTTGAATCCTTTCTTCAGAGACCCTTTTGTTGATTATAATTTTTATTGCATTTTGGTCAGAAAAGGCTATTTTTAATATTTTTGCTTTTTTGCGTTTGTTTGTGTCTTTTATGCCTTAGTGCTTGGTCTAGAATTAGTTTTCTCTTGGGAATATCAGTTCACTTCAATTCAGCAATTTTTAAGCACCTAGTGTTCTTTAAGTGCTGAAGATACAAAGACAGAAACAGTCTCCGCTCTAAAGGATCACAGAATCAGAAATCTAAAGAGGAAAAGACCTCGGGGCCATCTAATCCAAGCCCCTCATTTTACAGATGAGGAAGCAAAAGCCTAGGGATGTCAGGGGACTTGTCCCAAGTCACAGAGGTAGAAGCTTACATTTTTAAAAAGATTTTATTATGAACTAGAAAATCATAAACAAACATGAAGATTTCCTTAAAAGGAGAAGGGTGAAGGATTTGTACATGAAAACATGGGGCCTCCACATACATCTTTTTCATCTGACATACATTAAATTTATCAAGGTAGTACCAACATTGTTCTGCTTGTCTAGGTGCCCACTTTGAACCCCTCTCTGATCTCCTCTGTAATTTTAAAAAAATGTTTCATTAACTTTTATTTCCTCTTCCTATTTTTTCCATTAATATGACTATACCTCTACTCTCCTCCCTCCGGTTACTGCCCCCTATAAAAGCAATGCCTTGTAACAAAAATATAGTCAAGCAAAATAAATGTGTCATAATCATCATGTCTGAAAACATGTCTCATTTGTCACCCACAGTCCATTACCTCTTCAATAAGAAATGGGAGGCATGCTTTATCATCAGTCTTCCAAAGCTGTGATTGTTCATTACATTGGTCAGAGTTCTTGTTTTCCTTAACAATGTTGCAGCCATTAGAAAAGTGATCTTAGTCTGCTCACTTTATTTTGCATCAGTTCATACAAATCTTCCCAGGTCTCTCTCAATCTTTTTATCATTCCTTAGAGTACAATAATATTCCATTGCATTTGTATATGCCATAATTCATTCAGTCATTCCCTAAATGATGGGAACAGCTTATATTTTACTAGGTAATTTAGATACTATTTGAGAATCTAACCCTTGACTTTTCAAAATTATGTCACTTGGACTCTATATGTTTTATCTGCCCCAGCTGTTTTTCTCATCTTTATTCTCTTAAGAACCAGGCGTCAATTACAGTCTAAGTGTGGTGACTTTGCTGTCATCAATAGTGCAAATAGTTGTAATAGAGAAACTGGTGTCTCTGTTCCATTTTTCATCTGTTTGTTGCCCCCTTTCCAGTTTCTCCTATAAATGCCCTTGGTATTTGATAATCTAGGTTAGTTAAATCTCATGCCAAGCTTTCTGCAGACTCATTTTCCCTTCCATTACTCTGCTGTGTTTTTTTAAGTGTATGTTAAATTTAACATGATAGTACCAACACTTCCTTGCTTCTCTATGTTACCTTCTGAACTTCTGTGTGTTTTTAAATGTTTCAGTAATGTGCTTTTCTTTTTTTCTTATTGTTTCTTACATCACTATCACTATTTACCCTCTCCACCACCACATACAATCTTGCAACAAATATGTGTAGTCAAGCAGTATAAATTTACACATAAAAAATATATGTCTCATTCTTTCCTTTACTTCTCTGCCATGAAGTAGGAGGCATGATTCATTATCATTCTTCTGAAATCATGATCAGTCATTGTATTGATCAGAATCCTTAAATCTTGTAATGTTGTTTTCTTTTATGTCATTGTATATGTGTGTATGTATATATATATATATATATGTTGTATTCCTGCTTTTTTCTTCACTCTATATGAGCTTATACAAGTCTTCCTGTTCTTCTGAATTCTTCATAATTGTCTTAATAATATTCTATGGCATGCAATTATTTTCCATTACAATCATATTACATTATTTTTTTCAGTCATTTCACGATCAGTGGTTTCATTTTGTTTGTTTTTTTTTAACTAGCATTAAAATTGCTTCCATGGATATTTTGGTCTATGTTTGACATTTCTTTCTGTAGTTGACCTCCTTTAGGTATATGCGCAATGGTTGGGTTTCTGGATCAAGGAGTATGAAAGATTTAGGAACTTTAATTGTATTATTCTAAGTTATTTTGCAGAATGGTTAAACTCTTTCACAATACCCCCGACAGTGTATTGGTTTACCTGTGTGCTATCAGCTTCGCCTCTTTGAGGTGAAAGGTAATACCTCAAGGTTATTTTAATTTGTTATTAGTGATTTGGAGCGTTTTTATATGTATGTTGACAGGTTACATTCCTTCTGTAAAAAAAAACTATTTGTTTACATCTTTTAATCACTTTTCCTTTGGGGAATGCTTCTTATTATAAATTTGTGTTGATTCTCTATGCATCTTAGATGTGAGATTTTTTTCAGAGATACTTGATACAATGATTTCCCCTCCCAACTATTAGCTTGTCTTCTTACTCCAGAAGCATTGATTTTGTTCATGCAAACTTTCTTATTTTATATGAATGAAATTGTCAGTTTTGTATTTGTTATTTCCTCTATTCCATGTCTGATTATGAGTTCTCTTGGTAAACATAATAGTGAAAGGTATCCCCTTCTATTCTCCTCTAATTTTTTGTGTGGTGTATACCAATGCAGTATATAGTATATGGAAAATAGATATAAACTTATTTTCTGCCAAACTGTTTTTCAGTATTCCCAGTAGTTCTTGTAAAATAGAATGTCATTCTCATAGTAGTTGGTCTTCCAGTGCTTATCAAATAGTGATCCATTGTGGCTATTTGCTTCTAGTTTTGTCCCAATTATCTGCTTTTCAATTTTTAAAAACAATACTAAGCATTTCTCATGGTTACTATTTGATCGTATTATAGTCTGAAATCCTATAATGCTATACTTCCTTTTTTATTTTTTAAATTTTTGATGTTTTTTTTCTTCAAATGAATTTTGTTGTATTTTGTCAAGTTCTATGAGTTACTCTTTGGTAATTGATTGATATAACACTGAATCAGTAGATTGATTTAGGTAATATTTTCATTTTCATTTTTATTTTATTGGTATAAGCCAACCATGAACATTGAATAGTTCCCTAGCTATTTAAGTCTTGCTTTATTTCTACAAAGAATCTTCTGAAGTTGCATTTATATAATGTGTATATATATCTTGGTAGATTAAGTCCCAAGTATTTCATATGAAATGGCTAAGGTACAAATCCTTGGGGCTTACTTTATGTGCTCAGCCCAGTTCCAACCCACGTAGAACCTTGGTGGGTCTGCCACTATGCATATATAATATGGACACACACACACCCTTAAAACATTTATGGGTATCACCTGACAGTTTTCTGTTGGCTGACTGTGTGATGATGAAAAATATTTTTGGTGACTACAGAGTTGAAACTGAGGGCATGCAAAGAGGGCTAGCTCTAGTCTCTTCCCCCGCACGCTTTCAAGTGAGGAGGAAGAATTGCAAAAAACTGTGGTCTTCTGAGTGGAGGAGAAGCCAGAAGCCATGTGCCCATAAATGTGTAGTGCTTCTGGCCTGTTGGGTTTCTTCTTTCCTGATCTTAGGTATAGAAGTATTTTGAAATGGGAGCCCCCAGGCAATCAGGAGAACATCCGAGGTACCACCGACAACTCTGGTCCTAGAATCAGTGGCAGTAGAAGCCAAGTGTGATGAGACCATGCGGCGGTCTGGGGGAATGTCAGCCTAACTGAGCAAGGGGGCGTTCCTCATCAGCTCTCCCACCCCAGCACGAAAACCTGGTGGGGACTCATGGGAGGTGAATACTTTAGCATTGCTAATTGACTTGGTTTCTGTTTTAGGCCGATTTGATCTCTCTTTGAAATACGGAGAAACAGAGTCAGAGGGACTTGTTGAAGTAAAACTTGGGGACACCACAACATTCATATGTAAAAAAAATTGGAGCATAACTGAAGCAAATGTGGCCTGTCTATATCGTGGATTTAAAGAGTAAGTGCTTTTAAAAAGTTACAGAGTTGTTATTTTTTGCCAGTTGAGTTCGTGGCTCCACCTGTGTGCTTACTGATTTTTCTAATTGTGGTCACAAACCTTACGTAACATTTTATCATTAATTACATAGCAGTTGCATTGACCTTTTAGGTTTTGCTTGCTTAAGCAAAAGAATGTGTTTTCTCCAACCTTTCTTTCTTCCTCTAAACCTGGGAACACATCCAGAGAGCTCATCCACGTGATTTACAGCCTTATTGATACTCCTTCCAACTACTTGCACATTCTTCTCATTCACATTCTCCCAGGCTAGTCAGACCACAGCCCCCACCTCAATCACCACATCAGACCCAGATGGAGGTAGCCTGGGAACAGCAGCAAGCCCCAGACCACTCACCCTATTTCCAGCCCAGCTCCGACAGCCATAATTCAGGGGAGGAACTCCCACCCCTCAGCTGCCACTGGCTAGATAGACAAGCTCACCCAGCTGATGCAGCAAGGCAGCCTTAGGGACAGTAAGAGGCACAGGTGCCAAGCAAGCAAGCACTGCCTCCACCCGCTACAACTCCTCCTGCCCTCGGACTCCTGTGGAGATCGGCCAGAACCTTGAGCCCGAAGCCTCAGATATAGCAGCTCCACCCCAGACCACTGGCCCCACTTCCATCCTGCCTTCCCTCCGACTTCCATCCCAGCCATCGTCCATCAGACTCGTCAATGTGAAGATATGACCTAGCAAATTCTTTCAGGTGCAAAGCCCCCTCGGTAGCCATACCCCCTGAAGACCTAGAAAGGAAAGTTCTTGCCACCAGAGTCCTTGGCACAGGTAACAGGAGTTCTTGTGGCCTCACTCGATAAGGGCCACGTCTGTTATAGTCACTGACACCCTCCCCCATCCCCTCCTCCAAACATTCTCTGGTGTCCTGACGAGGTTGGAGGGTCTTTATCCTCTGCCATTGACTGGAGCGCTATTTTGTCCTCCCAACTTTAGCGCCCCAGTGACTAGCATCTCCTTCCATTTAACCACTTTACATTAGATTAACTTCTACAAAGGATATTTGCTTGAAAGATATAATAAGGGGGGGGCAGCTAGGTGGCGAAGTGGATAGAGCTCAGGCCCTGGAGTTAGGAGGACCTGAGTTCAAATCTGGTCTCAAATACTTGACACTTACTAGATGTGTGACCCTAGGCAAGTCACTTAACCCCATTGCCTAGTTTTAAAAAAAAGAAAAGAAGGAAAGAAAGATATAATAGGAACAAAAATGTAAGTATTTCCCCCGGCATCTTGGGGATATGATTCCCCCTGCCCCCATACTTTCTCTGTCTCTGGAAGGTAAGGGGGAATAGGCTCCCAGCTTAACCTAGTTCTATATAGCATTAGTCCCACCAAATTCAAGTGCAGAACTCCACTGGGCTAGCCTTCTGGACCTTTGCTGCTTAGGGCTTCCTTGCTAGGTTAGCTGCAATGCCTGATCTAGTGACTTGGACCCCCAGCTCCTGGATCTTCCTGGTTTGAGCTCCTGAGTTGGAGACTCCATTCGCTGCACCTCAAACAGAAAAGGACACATGTAAAAAGAAAAAAAACCCACATCCTGTTTGTTGGGGTCACATGGCTCCCACATGGGCAAGGAGGTGGCCCTCAGGCCTTTCCCACTTACCACATGGTAGCGGCTGTTGTGAATGAAGGAGACTTTCACCCTCAGATGTAAATGCAGGGAAAGCCCTCTGGACCACGGAGGTAGGCCAGTGCACAATGTCAACATGTATGCCAGTAATCCTGCCTTCCAAAAGCAGCTCCGTCAGCATTTTTCATGGAAGTATTGCTATTGACGTGGTTTAGCCAAGTCCCAAACTCCCACCATAAACTTCAGAAATGAATATGGTTTTATCCACTGGAGGAGCTCCATACATTGCCATCTGACACAGAGCTGAAACCTCCCTTGTGTTATCACCTCCTCTAGGAATGTGAGCTTCTTGAGAGCAAAGGCTATCTTACTTTTCTATGTATAGAGCATTCTATATAGTAATCACCAAATAAACGCTTTTTCATTTATTATCATTTCAGGGGGATGATATAAGGTATAGGATGCTACTCTGCATGCTTTTTTCTGTTAAGAAAATATGCTAGAGGTAGAATCAGAGGACCCAGGTTTCAATCTTGTCTCTGTCACTTTGTGTGTTAGACAAGTCGGGCAGCTAGGTGGTACAGTGGATAGAGCCCTGGGCTTGTAATCAGGAAGACTCATCTTCATGAATTCAAACCCAGCCTCAGAACTTTATAGTCACTTAACCCTATTCGCCTCAGTTTCCTCATCTGCAAAACGAGCTGGAGGAAGAAATGGCAAATCACTCCAGTATATTTGCCAAGAAAACCCCAGATGGCGCCATGAAGAGTTGGGTGTGACTGAAACAATTGACCAACAACAATTAGACATGTCATTTAAAGTCTCCAGGCCTCTCAATTTCTTCATCTATAAAATGAGAAAATCACATTAGATGACCCTGAAACCCCTTCTACTTCTAAATCTGTGAAACCGTGGAACTGGACAAATCAAACTTACGTATAAAATTATCAGACAAATGCTGAAGCAGCAGAGATCCAGGACCGCCAGTCTAACCAAACCTTCTTTGTTTCCACTTGCTCTTCACTTTCTTTTCCTTGTCTTTCTTTCTTTTGCCCTCCCTTGCCAGATCTTTCTCATTTCTTTTCAACTCTGGCCGCAGATGAAGCTTCTGCCCTGCCATTCAATTCAACCAACCCATCAGACATTTGCTGTGTATCTTTACTCGGTGTCAGTGGGCCACTGAGTGAGATCCTGGGGAAGATAGAAAGTTAGAGAAGATACTGTGTTTGTGCTTATAGACTTTGTAGTTTATTACTGGGCTATAAGACATGTCTAAGACTCAGTGGGAGCGTAGTATGAGTCTGCTTTCTACCTGTGTGACCTTAGCTTCTGCAGGCCTCAGTTTCCTCATTTGTAAAATAAGGGGTAGGACTAGTTGACCTTTACTGTCCCTTTCAGCTCTGAAGCTATGTTCCTGTGACTTCAATTCACTGAGGTCAGTTAGATGCTCTTTCACTATAGAATTATTTATCTTTGGTTTCAACTTCCTAGTAATCATTTCTTTCTATTCTTCCCAGGCCCAGATCATTATATGGGCCCTAGAAGAAAAAACAGAAGCAAAACAGGAGTATTTCCATCTCTCCCTACCATTTGTGGTCACCCCATCTGCCCTGAGCAATGGACTTATATCTTCTTTGATTTTCTCTAGCCTCAGTGTAACTAAATAACCCCTTTTTCTTGTCCTTAGCATTGCCAGCCTCGGTTAATTTTGAGCTTTAATGATCCTGAAACTGTTCTTACAGGATAGTGGTTACTCATCTGTATTCTTTTTCAGTTATCTTCTATAGTCTATAAATGTGTTTAAAAATCTGAGTTGCACTAGGAATTCCTTGTATAGATACATTGATTTTATTAGGCAATTCCTCATTTTCCTCCTGAAAATCATTTTTGCTTGAATGTTCAAAATTTAAATCTCAAAAACTTCCCATCACCAACAGATGCCCAGGTGGTTGGAGTCACCCACCATTACGATTAATGTTCTCCTCTTCCACAGTGATGCTGTTTCCCTGACTCCTCGTCTAACTTTTCCTCCTGTCCAGGGAATCTGTAGTGCACTCTGATAGTGATATTACTTTTGTCTCTCCCTCAGTTGATATCTGCCAGAATGCTTTCCATGATGTTACTCCGCTTGGTTCCTGGATTTCCTCACATGACTGTGTGTGTGTGTCTTCATAATAGGCAGTGCTACTCCACCACGCCTTATGTCTATTATGTTCCTTCTAAATGAGGCATGTTCTCTAAGCTCTTGTTGTGGTCATATAAGTCCTATCTTACCATGTCTCAGTGTTATCTTTGTGGTCAGATTTCCTTCCCTGTCTCTCTAATTTATCCTATTTAAGAAAATGATAATAGTAGCTAATGTTTATATAGCACTTTAAGATTTGCAAAGCTCTTTACAAATATGCTATTTTATCCTCACAACAATCAAGAGGTAAGTGCTATTATCCCCATTTCACAGATGAAAAAACTGAGGAAGGCAGAGGTTAAGTGACTTGCCCAGGATCACACAGCTAAGTGTCTGAGGCCAGGTTTGAACTCAAGTCTTCTTGACTCCAGGTCCTCTATGCACCGTACCACCTAACTGCCTCCTCCTATAGGAAGAGTTTCATAGTTGTTATCTAATAGTCTAAATGCTTTAAGTCTAATTTGGTTTTTTTCTTTTACTCATTTGAATCACATTCTTCTATTTTCCAACCTTTTTATCCAGGTTAGGATTCCCCTTCACATCTCTTTTCTGCTTTGTTTTCTCTTTCATTTGGATGGTCCATTTGTAGGGGGAGGGGGGTGATTAGGAGACCCCGATCAATTGATTTTCCTTCCAGCCCAGCTGCTGAAATTATAGAATGCAAAGGGGAAGGAAAAAGAAACAACATCTAAGATCTTCAGTAAGTATAAAGAAGTATATATATTTTGTTACTCCTTTATGAAGTATGGAGTATGTCAAGTCAAACTTGATAGAATTCTTGGGCTCCTAGCCATGGTTTGGCAAAAGCCTCAGCCACACCTCTGGTAGTCCTTAAAAAGCAAGATACACTATCTAGTTGAAGCTGGTGACAGCTCTGAGGAATGTGGGCTCTGGAAGTTGAGAAAAGAATCTCAGCTTCAGAATAAGAACTCAGACCCCGAGTAGACTTTCTATCTTTTCCTTCCTCCTCCAGTTAGTAATGACAACTTGCAATAGAGATTCTTGCCTAGTGGGAGGCCCTGTACTCAGCAAGGAGCAAGGCCTTGGCAGGTAAGGCAAGAGAAGGAAGAGGGCTCTGGTAGTCAAGAAGAAAGTCTGGTTGAAGAATTGAGCTGAGCTCTGCCAGGCAGAGCATCATGCCCATCAGAGACATCGCACCCAGGGAAAGCAGTATGAGAGCACCACATGACAAGAAAGAACATTAGGGTTTTATAGGCCCAGAGCTTTGATTCGCCAGGGCCCCAGTTTCCCTATATGTGCACAGGTCTACTAGTTTACTCTATTTGTGTTCTCCCTTATAGGGAGCTATGGGAGAGTGCACCCCAAGCTTAGAGGGGATGTTCTGTAGCTACTGTTCTTACAATGCCATTTCAGTAAATGCCTTTGCCTTGAGCTGTTTGTGACTTCTGACTCACAGTGAAAGGTAAACACACCTGTGGAGGCCTGTGAACTATAATTTGAAGAGTGCAGACCTATAGAATACCATACCTAAGAGTAGTCAACCCCCTGGGGAACCAACCCACAAGTTTCAGCTGAGGGGTTAATGCAGAAGGTGTTTTTTCAAGAAGGTTGCTCCAGCCTTTTCACTTTTTCTTCAATAATGGGTGCTTCAAAATAGTCCTTACCTCCATACTTAAGTCAGATGCCAGATTTCCTGATTTACTTTGTCAAAACTATCTTGGCTTTATCTTGACTAAACTTCATGGTTAACTGCTATAGCAAATTGCCCATTTAGAATGCCTTTTTTCCATGCTGAGTCTGAGGGTTCCTCAAGGAGGTTACATTTCTTTAAGGTGGGCTTTTTGTGTTTGATCAAAATCATAGCTGCCTTTATTCAAATGCTAGCACATCTCTACCACACCCCAAAGCAGACAGAAAAAATAAAAAGGAATAGGATCCCCAAGCAGAAAGCCAATTAGATCTTGAATCTACTTGCCACTGATGGACAGATAGTTCCATGTCCTTGCATTTTGGTTACTTGATAATTGAGATATTAGCCATTAAGCCCTTAAAATATAATCCCTCTCAGGGGTATTTAAACTTAAAAATACTATGATGGAAAACTAAAAATCCCTCAGAATTCCCAAGAAGTGAAGCTATAGCAGTTTAAATGAAGTGTTAGTGGTAATATGTGGTTGACGTTTTAGAACAGAGATCTACCCATTTTGCCACTTAAGGGCCAGCTGCAGATAGTAGAATCTTCCTATTAATTCTATGAGGGAAAAAGAAAGCCACTTAATGGAGCAGAGGTTCTTAACCTTTTTTGTGTGTTATGGACCCCTTTGACAGTTTGATAAAGCCAACAGAACCTTCCTTAGAACAGTGTCTATTGCTTATGTTGGAGGAAATGCTGAATTTCAATTAGAGGTTAGTGAAAATAAAAATGGAATTTTTTTCCCATCCAAGTTCATGGGTCTCCTGAAGTCTTTCTGTGGATCCCAGTTTAAGAACGGTTTCATGATCCCCAGTTTAAGAAGCCCTGATTAACAAAAATCCTTCACTCCTAACTCTGACCAAGACAATAACCTACCATAGTTACAGAGATTCCATGATGAAACACATGATAGACCCAGAGTGCAGATTGAAGTCTTTTTTGGGGGGGGACATGGCTAATTCAGGAATTTGTTTTGCTTCACTATACATATTTATTACAGGTTTGTTTTGTTTTGATTTGGGGGTTTGTTTGGTGTTTTTGCTTTCTCAATGGATGGAGATGGAAAAAGAGAAATCAGAAGTGAAAATTAAAGAAAATTGAATTTATTTTTAAAAAGTAGTTCACTCAGGGAAACTAGGTGGCACAGTGAATAGAGCACCAGCTCTGAAGTCAGGAGTCATTTGAACCTGAGTTCAAATGTGGCCTCAGACCACACACTTGACATTTACTAGCTGTGTGACCCTGGGCAAGTCACTTAACCCCAATTGCCTCAAAAAAAAAAAGTTGACTCTTAAATTTTAACTCAACCTAAATTACCATAGAATAGGTAATAATCATACTTTTCACATCTTACAATTTTCAAAGTACTTAAATATATATGTTTTTAATTTGTACATATATGTAAATTTTCATTTGATCCTCTTAACACCTTTGTGAAGAGGGCAAAGCAAGTATTCATATCTTTATTTTACAAATGAGCATATTAAGTCCTAGAGAAATTAAGTGATTTGCCCAAAATGTAGAACTCAAATGCCAGTATTTCAAACTATAGCTCTTTCCCCTATATTATGTAGCTTTTTCTGGAAACTGACAAAAGCGATTCTTGTCCTTAATCTTGTGTAATGAAAATCAGTGTCATTTAATCATCAAGACAGTTTTTAAAAAGAGTTTAATTAATTGGATTAATCTAATTAAATAATACACAGTTAAGAAGCTACCCTTGCCCATTTACTTATGCTTTTTTTACTTATTATATTTACTAATTTACTTGTTTGAATCCCCTCAGAGGAGCTGTCGATTATAGGAAAACATTTAATGTCCCTGATGATGATGATGTCGAGATCACTGACTGTTTGCAAGCAAGTTGTAAAGGATTGGAGACCACTTTGGCAGAATGTGTTTTAACAAAGAGGAAGGCTAATAGCAAGGATTTGGCTGGTGTGGTGTGTCATACACAGGAAGCAGGTTGGTGGAACATTTGCTTAATATTCTCCTTATCATACTTTACCCTTAGCCCTTGATTTAGGGGCAGCTAGGTGGTTTAGTGGACAGAGCTTTGGGCCTGGAGCCTCAGACACTTAGTAGGGGTGTGGCCCTGGGCAAATCACTTAACCTCTGTTCATCTCAGTTGCCTCATCTGTAAGATGGAGATAAAATGGGGCACCTACCTCTTAGTGTTATTTTGAGGGTTAAATGAGATAATTTTAAAGTATTCAGCACAGTACCTGGCACAAGGGCTATGTAAATATTAGTTATTATTTATTATAAATTAATCCATTACTAAATATGCAGCCCAAGCTCAGATGAAAGGCTCTGGGTACCCCTTCAACAATCACAGGTAAAGAAGTTGATGATGTTGTCAATTTCAGAGGTTAATCAATCAATCAAGTAGAATTTATACACTTACTACTGTGGGCCTAGGACTGTCCTGCTCCTGTGTATACAAAGACAATCAGTTACTACCCCCAAAGAGCTTACATAAATCAGTCAGCCAATCAGCCAACAATTAGTATTCACCTACTATGTGCCAGGCATTGTGCTAACTGCAGAGGATACTGCTCAGGAGCCAACTACTTCCTTTCATCCTATATCCAAGAGATTTAAAGTGTCTTATGGACAAGAAAACAGTAGCTCAGTAACTCTGCTGCTGCTGCAAATTAATGTGATAGATCTCTTGGCTACTCTTTGTGGTTAACTGATATAGCAGACTGTCCGTTGGCCATGTCTTCTCACTGTGCTGAGGCTCGGTGCCTGGGAACTCCTGAGGGAGACTCAATTTAGAGACAGAATCAAGGTTTTAGAGTAGCTTCAGCATTTTTGAGGCAAGTGGATGATCCGGCAGAAGTGATTGTATCCTCAGAGAGAAGATCAGTGTTGTCACATGAAAGGGAAAACAGAGACCTTTAATAAAGGAATGAATAAGAATTCATATATGCCATCATCTAGCAGTATGCCTGGTTCTAGAAGCCCTGCCTCAGAAAGTAGAAACCTTCTTTAACAACAGGACCCACAGAAGACATTTATTGTATTAATTGGAGGCAGTGTGGTATAAGATAAAAAAGGCTGTATTTGCATTCAGATATCCTAGGTTCAATTCCTGTCTCTGATTCTTACCAAAATTAAGCCACATCATCACTCTAGGCCTCAGTTTCCTCATCTGTAAAATAGGTGGATTGGGCTAGGTGAGCTTTGAGGTCCCTTCCTGCTCTGTATTTATAATCTGTAATCCTATGATTTTATACTATATTGAAATCCCAACACCTTTCACTTTGTCACTTGATGTATATCCCATTTTTATTCCCAAACGTAAAGGGAAAATCCAAGCACATTTAGGTGAATAAATTTTGAAGGAATTTTTCTTAATCTTTGTTTGGCAGACCTCCTCGATGAAAATTCATTTCAGTGTGTCAATGGGAAGTACATTCCACTGGAGAAAACTTGTGATGGCAGCAATGATTGTGGAGACCAGAGTGATGAGCTGTGTTGTAAAGGTACAAATAGATCTAACTTGAAAAACACATCCAACTAGATAGAAGTGATACAGGAGTACCACAGCCTGTGTGACGTAGATTCGGCTGCCCATGTGTAACGGGGATTTTCAGATCATCCTGCGACACCGTGGCGGGGTGTTCACGCCATCCTCCAATTTCAAGGGGGCTGTTGGGCTTGGACTTACAGTACATCTTTTACACATCAAATTCTGTAGCCTGTTTATGAGATTCTTTTTTTAGGGGGGAGAGTTAGTATAAAAGCCACTTTCCCTAGTCATTGAAGGGGAAATAGTTCCACCCCACAGTTGGAGGCTAACAGTTTAGATAATCTCAGTCAGTTTAGCTTTTCTCCCATCAAATGCTTTATTATACAAAATATAGTCATGGCTAGCAAACAAATTTATTTGCAAAGAAAGCAGTAAATCCGGTAAATCATACAGATTAGTTTGGGAATCTGTTCTGTAAAACTTGGACTCAGTCAAAAGGCCACACCCAAGGACCTAGAAGGCTACAGGTTCCCCATGCCTGGTTTAGGCATTAGAACACAGTAAATTAAAAGCTTCTGTGACCTAGCATTGAGATGAAATCTCAATTCAGCCTGGGTAAGAATGATCTCAAACTATCTCATGCTCACCCTTAGCAGTCTCTGGAAGATTAAGGGCTGAGAATCAAGGGCCATATTGAGGTACCAGCTCCTTCCCACATGCCCAGAGCTTTAGGGACCTACTTTCCAACTTTCTGAATCTCTCTTTATCTTGTCTTTCTTCTTCTCTTCTTTCTCTCAGAAATCTCTCCATCAGTCTAGAGTAACCTGTGTGTGTGTGTGTGTGTATACATATATACACATACATATATATATACACACACATAAATATATAATCACAGGGCTGTCCTTCAGGGTTGGCTAAACCCAAACATACCTAGAGATGGAGCTATACAGAGAAGACTGTGAAATGGGTATAACAGGACTTGTTCGGATGATGTGTACAAGAGCTTTTTGTAAGAACAAAATGTTAGATAAATGGAATTTTCTTTTTTTTTTAAATTCATGGAATCTTAGAGCAGGAAAGGACCTTAGCAGCTAGAGTCTAACCCTTGCACTTTACAGAATAAGAATCTGATATCCAGAGAGACTAAATAACTTTCTATGATAACACAGCTTGTTAGTGGCAAAGTCAATATTCATATTTAGGTTATTTGCCTCCCTGATAAAAAAAATATAAATTTACTGTAAGATTTCATTTTCTTCAATTTTAATAAATGACAACTCTCCATATACAGAATATATAACACACATATAATATATTATATATATCTATATATATATATTTTTTTTTTACAGGGTGCAGAAGTGGAGGTTTCTTTTGTAAATCAGGTATTTGCATTCCAAAAAAATATCAGTGTAATGGTGAACTGGACTGCCTTACAGGAGATGATGAAGTAAATTGTGAAGGTAATTTGAAACTTTATAATCACTTACTGTATTAGTCTGAATATAGGTCTCGGCTCTAAAATCAACTGTCTCTGAAAAGAACATACATTTACGTACAGTGGAAAAGAACGGTTATTCATAGCCACTCCATTACAGAAAAAAGAAAAGATGACCCACTGGAAAGAAACCTGTGGAGTAACTTTGAAGGGCTAACGAACATGAAAAGTTGGTTTTAGTTTCAAACTTTGGAAGTTTAACCAGTTGGTACACTGACATTGTAGCATCCCTGAATAATCTGCAAGTGAGGAAGGAGCCAGAGGTCAAGCTGCCAGCAAATATGGAAACAAAATTTTTAGTGAGAGGAGCTCTCTCTTCTGTATCACTCATCCCAGTAGTTCAGCATAGTAGGACAAAGAGAGACCAAATGGGAACTGCAGTGATATGACCATCTGTAAGTAAGCTGGGGGAGGTCAGGATGTGGGCCTTCAGTCAGCATCTTAGCAGTGGGCACCTGCCTCCTTAATCTTGCAGCACCAACAACAGAGGCACCTGGCACAAAATTCTGCTGGGTCTCAGTAAGGTCTCAGGAAAACTTTTCCCATTTTGAGGTCTTCCAGCTGTACTGCACTTCCTCAAGTGGGATTATAAACCACACTTGTGTTTTATCATGCAGCCCACATTTCAGACCTGGAACATTTGCTTAAAACTCTCCTCACTGGTAGGTAGAATGGTGACTCAAAGCTTCATGCCTTTGTGAGGGGCAGAATTGGCAGGGAGCTCGGGAGAGGACGTAATTTCTTTTTTCCTGCTTGGAGAGAGCAGCCACAGACTCTCTTCAAGGAGAGATCCATGGAGAGAGAGAGAGCAAACTTTCAAAGACTGACAGGTAGGAGACAGCTGGCTCCCCATCACATCCCTGATTTCCAGAGTTTGCTCTCTCTCTCTCCCCCTGGGTCTCCCCCTGAAGAGAGTCTGGAACTTTTTGTGTCGTCCCTCAAGGAAGGAATGAAGAATGTGACTCCTCTCCTAAACTCTGCTGGCCACCCTGCCCTCTTGAGGACAATCAGCTTTGAGTAGTCATTCTCTCCACCAGTAATGAAAGATATATGCACATACTCTAGATTTGAAACCTGGGTTCCACAGCCAAACCAGAGTGGGAAGAGGCTGGAAGGGGAGAGGTATAACCTGTATTTAGACCAATGTGAGACTCTGCTTGGTCTATCTAATGTAGGGATTTTCAAAATTCTTATTCGTATGTACTGCAGTACTCCCTTATTTCCCCCATTACACTGTGAATTTCTTGAGAGCAAGAACTGTTTTTTGTCTTTATATCCCACGTGGTTAACACAGTGCCTGGCACATGGTAAGCGCTTAATAAATGCTTGTTGATTTGTTAACTTGATCTCAGAAAGTGTAGTTCCAGCATCCAGGGGTCATACAAGTAAACATTGAAATGCCATGATCAGCCTTCTCTTTGCTTCCTTGTGCATGGACTAAAGGGAGAATTGGGGTAAAATTACTTTTGCAGACTTTGTCTTCATGTGCCTAAGATAGGTATACCTGGATGATTGTTACTGTTGTTTTGGTACTAATTAGAAGTTGGCACCTCCAGTATGATAGTATGCTTAGCAAAATTTCATTTCTCAAAATTAGCAGAGTTTAAATTGGAGCATGGTGGTGGGCAGAATTCAAGTATCTTTCCATGTCCCTTCAGGCCAGCCCTAAGGCCATTTCTGTCCTCAGGCCATGTGACTGAGGGATTCCTGGAGTTGGGGACAAAAAGAATTTTTTTTCATTTTTTCCCTGTCAGTAAAGCCAGCATTTCTGGCAGTTAAAACTATAATATTCGGGCTTGTCCACTCAAGTCCAGCAAAGATATTTTGTGTTTTATTAGCATTTAAATAATATCAAGTCAAAGTTGTAGGTATGTGCTTTATTAGTTTATCAGAAATAATTAGCAAATGTTATTAGCTACAGAATAAGGACTTATGTTATCACCATGTCAAATACATAAAGACATCTGCAGTCAGTTGTCACTCCCACAAATCCAGATGGAGATTTGCCCTTCTTGTGTACAGCCTGTGTCCCCTGCCTATAGGCAGAACTCTCATTATTAACACTGCAAGGGAGAGCAGAGGATGCTCAGAAGCTCATATTTTTAATAATAATGATAATAAGAGCTGCTCCTTAGCATCTCCGGTAAAGAAGGGATTGGGAAAGAGGATAGAAACTATGATTAAAATAAGTTATGGATTCTCTTTGGAATTTCCCTTATCTGTTACACAGACTTCATTTTTGTAGTGCAGGTTAAAAGTTGGCTATAAATTTGGTGTACAACAGATTTTGTTATATTGCCAACGCATAAGGTACTGGAATATATAAATCTTTATCTCGTACACATATATTATACTGATATGGGGTCTTTTTTTTAAACAGTTAAATTTTTTTTTTTTTAGATTTGTCTTTGCTAGGTTGAAATGTTTGTGCTTTATTTCTAGGCTTGGAACACTCTGAAGTTCAAGGTAAGTATTCTGACTTTGAGTCAAAAAGACTTGAATTTAAATCCAGCTTCAGATATTTACTAGCTCTGTGCCCCTGGGGCAAATCACTAAACTGTCATCTGTCTCAGTTTCCTCATCTGTAAAAGTGGAGTAATATTAGCACCTACTTCCCAGGGTTGTTGTGAGGACAAAATGGGATATTATTTATAAGCCCTATAGAAAGTTTGAAGAGCTATATTAGGTATGAGGAGGAGGAGGACAGCACCCCCTGAGACTGAGTCGAATCAGTGCCTGGGATCCATTCCTATCCTCATGATGGCAACATGGACCACTCCAATGACTTCAGGAGATCATGGAATCATAGACTTGGCGAGGCCACTGATTCCAACTTCCTTGGTCTACAGATGAGGAACCCGAGGCACAGAGAATTAAGAGGCTTGCCCAGGTTCCCACAGCTAGGAAGTGTCCATCCCATCGTGGGATTTTAACCCAGGTCTCCTCTGAGACCTCTTGATTAGAGAGATTGTCCCTTCTGACAAAATGTAAGCTTCCTATGGGCAGGGTCTGTTTGGTTTTTGTCTTTGTTGATTGGTAGCTTGTATGATACAGGAAAGAAAGGGTCTGTGCTGGTTCTTTTATTTGGTGGGCCTCTTAGTAAAGTCTGGACCCTAGAATGGATTTTCTCTAAATCCATATCTAAACCGGGTGTTCTACATGTTCCTCAAATCACAACTGAGTTGGCCAAGATTTCTGGTGATTCGGATCAACACTCCCTTTCTTTGAATAACTGCATGTGTAATTAGTATAATCAAGAACTTCTGAACTAGGTAGAGGCCAGAGGCTAGAGAGCTGGTCAATGAATAGATTAGGGAAAGGGTTGCTAATGCCCCGGGTGGACATGCTTTTCCCCTCATTGCTTTAGCCCTGTAGGGGACCTTGTTTTTGACTCCATTCATTGTTACTCTGGCCCTAATAAGTACTGTGGGTCTGTGTCAACTCTGTTCTCCGTCTGGCTCACTGCTCTGCCAGGCTCTTCTAGAGTTAGTCTAGAGTAATGCTAACAGCATTCCTAAAGGTACAGCTAATAGAATTTTCATTTGATATTGACCCAAATAATCCATTCTATAGTTTCTCTTGCCATTCTAAAAAATGTGTAAAAAAATTTTACAGTTATAAAATCAATATTATAATATTGCAATTTCTTCCCAAATCTGGCTTGCATAAAACCACATGATCCATAATTAGGGTCATTTTTCATTGCATGTAATATACATATATATATATATATATTGTATTCTCATCCTATATATTTCATCTTGCTTTTTTATTGTATCTAGTCTTGACACATTCTGAAGTTCAAGGTAAATATTCCATTTATTTCCTCATTCATTATATAGTACTAAAAACAACATTTTATGCAGTATTTGAAAGCGTATACTACACCGTATTTTAAATTGCATAGACATATATGTACGTGTGGATGTGTATATTTATCTAGAACTGTGGTTTCGTTGATGTTTCTCCCTCTGCCGGTGCAGATCAGCAGCACTTCTATACGTCTTGCTCTCTGAGACCATGAGAGCTTTCTTCCTGGCCTGTGTGCCCTGTTTAAATGCAGTCTGTGGTCATATGGATGACCATCATCTTAGAGAAAGTCATAGCACAGGCCTGTGCTCTAGACTTGATTTGTTCACGATGAGCTTTTGACTTTCTGAATTAAAGTCTTTCTGCTCCATGGCGTATCTGGTTTGGTATATGTATAAAACCCCTTTGTTTGCTGCATCTGAGCCTGATTTGACTCAACATACTAAGATATATAAGCTCTTAGCTACCAGCAGTACTATATAACATTCTTGTTAAGTTTTCTCTTCATGGTATTGATATTTCAATGTGTTATTTCCAGGCCCTGGAAGATCTGAAGATGAGGTCCAAGGTAAAGTATCATTACTTTAATATAGAGTAAAAATTCTAATGTCCATGAATATAGAGTTTTTAAAAAGAGACATGACCTGTTTGTAATTCCTTCCTATAACTTCATTTGTTTTTAGAGTAAGCAATAATTTAAAAAAAAAAAACTTTATGGGGCAACAACCAATGAATAGCGGCAAAGAGGCAAATTTGGGTTTGGTGTAAGGAAAAACTTGCTACAATTAGAGCCACCAAAAGTAACCTGGAGGTGTTGGGTTCTTCATCATTGGAGATCTCCAGACAAAGGCCACGTATACATCTATAGCTACTTATCTGGCATATTGTGTGGTGTAATGGAATAAACACTGGATTTCAAGTCAGAGTACCTGGGTTCAGATCCTGGCTTTGCTGCTTATTACCTATGTGACCTCAGGGTTGGATCATATCACCTCCAATGTCTCTATGATTCTAAGATCCTGAGTTACCTAGCCTCAATTTCCTCATCTGTAAAATGAGGGGGTTGGATTTGATTACCTCTAAGGTACCTTCTAGCTCTAAATCTACGATACTTTGACAAAGAGAGGGTTTTGGTTCAGGTCTGCTTTGGCCTGCATGACCTCTAAGGTCTCTTCCAGCTCCGAGTTTCTGTGTTTCTGATGACATGGCTTTGTGAACATTGGGTTTTAGTCCAGGAAAATACTATTGAGACTCCTGCAAGCTCTCAGTAGTGCCTCAGAAGCCTGGTGGCCAGGGGAAAAAATCCCTATCACAAATAATAAGGTACCTGCAACAATGTCCCCCAGAGAACATAGGTGAGTGAGGAAACAACACAGTATCATGGCTATGCTGTCATCCATCTCCACTTTTGTACTCTCCCTTGTGAGACATAACTGAACGGTGGGTATTAGATACTTGAGCCTCATTTTGGCAGTTACAATGATCTCAAATATTGCAGTGGACACAAAATTAACTCTTGTCATTTTATTGTTCAGTCAGTTCCAACTTTTCATGACCCCTTTTGGGGTTTTCTTGGCAGGAATACTGGAAGGACCATTTCCTTCTCCAGCTCTTTTCACAGATGAGGAAAATGAGGCAAACAGGGTTAAGTGAATTGCCCAGCATCACAATCTGAGGCCAGATTTGAACTCAGGTCTTCCTGACTCCAGGCCCAGTGCTCTATTCACTGTACCGCCTAGCTGTCCTATTTGTCACTTGTCATTTTAAAGGAATGTAAAAGGAAGAAGGTGGAGTTCCCATTTGTCTGCTACATCCCAGACGCCTGACCAATAAAATGAATGAAATGTATATACACTCTTAGGCAGAGAGGAAATGTACAATGGATAGAGAGCTAACCTGGAAACCAGGAAGACCTGAGTTCAAGTCCTCCCTATGAGCCACCTAGAGGAGGCGTTTTGTATGTAACACTGGAAATCAAGGATGGATTTGTGATAGGACTCAGCACTCCCTTGCAGCTTGGCAAATCACTTAATCTCAGTATTCCAGACAACTCTCTAACACTATAAATTGTGAAGAAGGTGCCCATCAGCACTGATTGAGGAAATTACCAGGAGGAACTACTCTGGAACATTAGAGTAGGGAATTAATTCCTAGTGAGGAAATTCCTCAATCAATGCTCTAATAAAATCAGGCTTCTGGTCCAAAAAAAGCAAAAAAAAAAAATCCCTTGGTGAGATGAGATGATATGTTTATATGATTCACATATCAAATATTAGGTATGGTGGCACCTTTCAAATGCATGAAGATCAACTTGGAATGGTAGCTTAGAAAAGGGCATTATCTCCCAACAAGGAACTCTGAGTTCCTTCTATTACCTGTTCCATCTGTCTACTCTAATGTGAAAACCAGGGCACAAGACTTGGTGCCTGAGTGCCTTGGACAAATCATTTAATCTTCCTGGGTCTCAGTTTCCTCATCTGTGAAATGAGTGGGTTGAATTAGGTGACCTCTAAAGTGATGATCCTCTTATCCAGAGTCATAATTTCTAGGTAATCAGCTGCACAGATTTTGCCTTCTGTAGATAAGGAATGGAAGTGAAAGACTTTTTCAGCTTTGTTTTTAAGAGAATCCAAGTTTGTAGGAAATTCATCATGAAGCTACAAAATGTGTAGGGTATTAAACTTTAAATGATCTCATTTTCATTGTAAATATGACTAAAATGTGCAAATCAGTTTGAATCTTTTTTTTTTTTGGTAGAACAAGCTGAAATATTGACCGCTAATATGGATGAAGGTAAGTTATTTAAAACTTTCTGCTTGTTGATTATCAGTCAAGCTGTGTAAATTAATGTATCTGTCATGGGCATGCACTTGTTGATAACAATGAATAACTGTATTGATTTATATTGCTTTGAAACTTTGATGCATCTGTCATCTTGTTGGTATGAGTTCTCCCTCCACTGAGGCAGAATACAACATATGCCCACCTCATTGTATGCAATTCTTGCCTTTGTCCTCCCATGAATGTGCTAGAGAGGTTCCATTTTCTCAAATATAAAATTAGGTGAAGTAACACAGAATAGTGGAAAAAGTGTTGGAGGGAGGTCCTGGATTCTAACAACAATAATAATAATGCTTTATGACATTTACATAATGCTTTAAGGCAGGGGTGGGAAACCTGCAACCTTGAGGCCACACGTGGCCCTCTCAGTCTTCCGGTGTGGCCCTCTGACTGAATCCAAACTTCACAGAATAAATCCCCTTAATAAAAGGATTTGTTCTGTAAAACTTGGACTAAGTCAAAAGGCCGCTCCTGAGGACCCAGAAACTCACATGTGGCCTCAAGGCTGCAGGTTTCCCACCCCTACTTTAAAGTTTGATTTGATCCTCACTGCAGCCCTGGGAGGTAATGGTATTATCACCCCAATTTTACAGATGAGGAGATGGAAGCAGAGGTTAAGTGACTTACCCAGCAGTCACACAGCTCACATGTGTCTGAGGCAGGATTTGAACTCACATCTCTCACGTCTTCCTACCTCCATGTCCAACTTTCCTCACTGTGCCACCTAGTTACCAATCCGATAAACTTGATCAAGTCAGTTCTCCTCTCTAGGCCTCACTTTCCTAATCTATAAAATGAGGGCTTTGGACTAGGTGGTCTCCAAGATCCCTCCTACCTCTAAACTTACGCCTCTATGATCTACCCTGTAGGCTTTCTTTTAACATTTTGTGCATATCAATGTTGTATTTATGCTGTCCATGAGCTATCCCACATTTTTTGATTCAGGACCTACCTATCTCCTTTTCCTTTTGTACATTTCATTCATTAGATGCTGCAGCATCTATAGACACACCCTGCACCTCCCCATTTGGTTTAGGTCACTTAAAATTTTGATTCTTCCAAGACTGTGATATTTGATTTGTTGTTTTTGTTCAGTTGTTTTAGTCTTATCCAACTCCTCATGACCCCATTTAGAATTTTCTTGGCAAAGATACTGGAGTGGTTTGCAGTTTCCTTCTCCAGCTCATTTTACAGATGAAGAGCTGAAGCAAACAGGGTGAAGTGACTTGTCCAGGGTCGCACAGCTAGTAAGTGTCTGAGGCCAGATTCGAACTTTGGTCTTCCTGACTCCAGGCCCGACACTGGACCACCTAGCTGTCCCCTTGATCTATTTAAAGAAAGACAAAAATATCTTTGTACTTAACTGCTATTTCCTAAACTTCCAGAAAAAAAACAAAACTAAAAACAGCCAAAGGTGATAATGACTGCTAGTAGTTTAATCCAAACAAGGGCTGCTTATTATTAAGTGAGCTTTTGTGTAGAAGCAATATGGGGTAGCAGAGAGCACCAGTTTTGAAGCCATGAAGACCTGGGTTTGTGTCCTGCCAGGCGGCCCTGCTCAATCACAACCTCTAAGCCACTCTCTAAGACTATTAGTTGTAGAGAAAGTGCTGACCTGGGAGAGAATATTTCCTTACCTGGGGAGTTCTTTATACTGATGCTGTGACAAGCCCAATCCCTATCCCCTTTTATTTAGCTGATTGAAAAATGAAAACAGTTGTTTTTAGCCAAAGTTTCACTTTGTTCTAGGTTTTGCCAAGTCACACATAAATTTTTGTTCAAACATAGTGAGCTATAATCCAAATGTATTTGGAAAGGTGAAGATGTTCATTCTCTTTGGAAGTCTGCTTTTTTCTGTAATATATGTATATGCCATTATGTTTCAAAATTGGGGAAAACTGGTATTATTTCTAACAAGAGTCCTGAGCTGAAACAACTGGAGTTCCTTTTTATGTGGCAACAATATAATATAATGGAAAAAACACTTGGTCTGGTAGTCAGGAAGCCTGACTTCTAATTTCAGTACTTTTGTTAGAAGTGGTATGCTCTTGGTCAAGTCCTTTTCCTTAACAGAGCCTCAGTTTCTTCATTTGTAAACAAAGAAATCACATTAAATGATACCTAAGGTCCCAAATTCTATTTTCCATAATTGCTGAATAAATGGTAGGACGTACCATGTACCTTTCTGAATTCTGGCAGTTAGGTGGCATGGTGGGTAGAATGAAAGGCATGGAATTAGGAAGATTTGAATTCAACTCCAGCCTCAGACACTTAATAGCTGTGTTAGCCTGGACAAGTAATTTAACCTCTATTTGTCTCAGTTTCCTCATCTGTAAAATGAGGATAATAATAGCACCTACTTCCCAGGGTTGTTGCGAGGATCAAATGAAATAGTAATTGTAATCACTTAGCATAGTGCCAAGCACATAGTAGGCACTATGTAAATGTTATCTATTATCATCATTATTGGCTTATTGTCCCAGAACAGTGTTTGTTTCCATCTGAATACTCTAACTAGGCTCATATCTTTACAAAATAATGCCTCTTTCAGTCTGCCATCTTTACAATTCAAAACTGAATTGCTTCTGAGAAAGACATGGGCATCAAATCCAGCTATATGGAACAGTTTATCTTAAAACAAGAGGCATTTAGCCGTAGAGCTGCCTATTATCCTTAGGCTAATAAAGTAACATCTTTAATAATTTAAAACATGAACATACTAGTAGTATTGTACAATGTACATATAGTCAACTCTCTACAAGAATCTATAAGAGGATTATATCTATATATCTATATATAGATAGATAGACTTTTTCTGTAATCAATACTTTTCGACCTCCCACCAGTTAGTGCAGACCTACACAAACTGTGCCCTGCAGGCTGCTTCCTGACCTCGCAGCACACCAAAGGATTTCCTCCACGTACAAAGGATGTTTTCCTCCAATTTTTCATCTGCCACCAGTCAATGGCATGCTGCAAGTGGCCTATTGACCGAAAGTTGTGCAGGCCTGAGTTAGTGTGTAATTAGAAAATTAAATGTGAAATCTCGACCAAGAAAAACTAAATCGAGAAAGTAACCTCTGTAATATTACGTAATATCCTGAAAATCCAAATATAATTTGTGAATGTGATGGCATTGCATTACCTGTGATTTTGATCCCTTCCCATAGTGAGGATAAACAAGTAATGACTACATAGGCATTTCTATATTCAATTTTAATAATGCTGTGACCTTTTTTTCTCTGAAAGACAGAAAATTATTCAAGTCTCTTTTACCCAAAATAAGCTGTGGTGTTAGAAACAACACGCACACTCACGTTCGAAGGAAACGAATTGTAGGAGGACAGATTGCAACTGAGGTAATTCGATTCAATTCAATAAACATTAAGCGCTTAACAGTGAAGAAAGCCCTAAGCCTAGTGCATGGGAGCTATTCAAAAACAAAAAAGGGGGCAGCTAGGTAGCTCAGTGGATAGAGTACCGGCCCTGAAGTCAGGAGGACCTGAGTTCAACTCTGGCCTCAGACTAAATACTTAACACTTACTAGTTGTGTGACCCTGGGCAAGTCACTTAACCCCAATTGCCTAAAAAATTTTAAAAAAAAATGCTAGCAACTATCATTACTATTAAGTAAAAAAAAAAAGTAATTTCAAGATGGGGAGAGTGTTAACAACTGGAGAATTAGAGAAAGTCTTATGTAGAAGGTAGCTTCTAAGCTGGATTTTGATGGAAGGAAGAGGTGAGCAAAGAGAGCCCTGAAGACACAGGACCACTGGCACAAAGCCATGGAGTCAGGAGATGAAATGTCATGTACAAGTTACCAGGCAGGTTAAGTGAAACAAAGAATGTGCATGATGAGAAGTAATAGAAAATAAGATGGGAAAGGTAGGTATGAGCTGGAATTGTGTGAGGGCTTTATGTGCCAAATGGAGGACTTTATATATTATCCCAAATGCACTGAGATAGCCATTGAACAGCTTAGTCAGAGGATGACATGGTGAGTTCTATATTTTAGGAATATCACTTTAGCAGCTATATTGAATGCGTATTGGAGAAGAAAAAGACCGGAGGCAGGGAGGATGTTTAGGGGACTATTAAAATAGCCCAGCCGAGAAATAATAAGGGATCGTAGATGCTGCCTAAATTGAAAGAACCAGAGAAATTTGAGAGATTGTAGAGGAGAATTATATATGTAATTATTACATTTGCACATAATTTCATATATATTACATATGTAATTATTATTATTTTACCAAGGGAATTGCCAGCTGATGTTGGCTGTTGAAGGAGGAGTTAAGGGTAACTTCTTAAAACCCTGAGGACATATTTGAATAAATTTACCATGTAGATTTCTCTGGAACAGCCTAGATTGGGAAAGAAATCTGAGAAGAGTGCGTACTAATAGACCTGAGGGTCTCATAAAAAAGATGCCCCTGGAAATTGGAGGGCTTGCACCACTAATTGCCCAATGTCCCTGCAGCTATAACTCTCCAGATGTCTTTTATAGGGGGAATTCCCATGGCAGGTGACAATTAAAGAAGGTACTAAAATCCACTGTGGAGGAATTTATATTGGTGGCTGTTGGGTACTGACCGCTGCACATTGTGTCAGGTAAAAATGTTTTTCATACCATTCTTTTCATGGAGCAATGAAATTAGGTTAAAAAAGTAATGGTAGAAGAGGCATGTATGTGCAATTGAAAAAAAAAATCATTGTGAAACCAAGAATTCATTACCTCATGATTAGTAGCTATATTTAGGGTCCCAGACAAACTCTGGAGCAGGGGTTCTTAATCTGGGGTCCATGAACTTTAAAAGAATATATATATTTTTATTATTGTATTTCAGTAAAATCTGTTTCTTTTCTAAGCCTATGCATTTTATGTATTTAAAAACATTATTCTGAGGAAGGACCCATAGGTTTCACCAGACTCACAAATGACCCTCATCTCCAGACTCTTATATCTTTTCATTGCTTGTAATCATAAATGTTTAACAACCATATCTAAAAAAAGTATGTCCAACACACTTTTAAAATTTAATTTTAAGTTTAATTTAATTTTTAACATTTTCTCCATCACTTTCTTAAATCTAGAACAACCAACAAAATAATAAATCAAGTCCTGATTTGTAGCATTTGCTTATTTCTGAAGCATAAAATGGCCATCATGAAAATTTAACAATCTGCTCTCCCGAGCTAGTTCAAGTGGACTTCAGCACACCCCTGCCTATAATGATTCTGCCTCCTGGCTTCCATGGCTTCTTTGAAGACTCAGCACAATCCCACCTTCTATTCCTTTCCCAGTTTCCCTCAATACTAGTAGTGCCTTCCATCAGAGACAACCTTCAATCTACCCTGTATATATCTTCTGTGTACCTAGTTGTTTACTTGTTGTGTCCCCAGTTAGACTATGAGCTCCTCAAGGGCAGGAACTGTCTTTTGCCTTTCTTTGTATCCCCAGCACCTGGCACACAGTTGGCACCTAATAAATGTTTGTTGACTTGATCAAACTGCCAAAGATGTCCGTGACAGAGAAAAAAGGTTAAAAACTCATAGGGAATCTACAGACTACCCACCTGGCAAGATCAAAGCGAAGACTTTAGGAACTTAACTTCCATGTAGCTCCATTTCTCTCATTTATAAGATTGTTGGCACTTTGTAAGCCTTAAAGTGCTCTCTCTCTCCTTCTTCTGTCTCTCTCCCTCTCTCCCTCCCTCCCTCTCTCTCTCTCCCTCTTTCTCTCTCTCCCTCTCCCTCTTTCTTTCTCTTTCCCTCTCTCATTCTGTATTGCTCTCTCTCCTTCGCATTCTCTCTCCCTCTCTCTCTCTCTCATATATGTATACATGTGTATGTATATATATATATATATATATACATGTATATATGTGTAGGCTATTACTATTATTATCATTATGAGGCTATAAAGAGACAATATGCACTACATAATTTGTGCTCTTATACCAGTCGATGAAAGTAAGTCATCTCTCCCTCTAACCTCTTATTCCCTCTCTCCCCAACTTGAGAAAGCCAGGAAAGCCAGTCTTTTAAAGCTGTATTCCACACAATGACAGCCATGGTCTCGGAGCTAATGAAGAGATAGGACATTTGGGAAACATGGAAAAAAATCCTTTTTAAAAAAGGCAAAGGTAAGGGAACCCAGTACTACATGTTTTGTATATTCCAGTAAATATTTTCCATTTTATCTTGTAGAAAAAGTGCAGCACATCGGTACCAAATATGGACAGGATTACTAGACTGGATAAAAGTTAACGAGGGAGTTGGAGTCCAGAGGGTAAATCGAGTGATAATCCATGAAAACTACAATGGCAGCACCTACCAAAACGACATTGCTTTGATAGAAATGCAAAAATACCAAACCAAGGCCACGTGTGAGCTGGTGAATACTCTCCCTGCCTGTGTCCCCTGGTCCAGTTATCTCTTCAGCCCTGGTGATAAGTGCTTTGTTTCTGGCTTTGGACGAAATGAAGGTATTTCTTATGTTGGAGGTATTGGAGAAACATGGGGAAAAGTTTTAAAAATGCTCAAATATATATATGAATTGCATATTATTAAATACCTATTATATTCTCGGCACTAAGTATATAAAGAATAAAACAATCCCTATGTACAGGAAGCTTACATTCTGATGAGGGAGACAAGTCTACATATGAATAAATGCATCCTTATCATAAAGTAGATAAATGCAAATGTATACAAGGAAGTTTGGAAAGAAGGGCACTAGTGGTTTGTGGTCCAGGAAAGGCATCATGCAGAAGAAAGAGGCATTCTATGAAGCAAAGAGTCTGTTGCTTTTATCCAAGTTCAGACACAGACACACACACACACACACACACACACACACACACACAGATGTAAAAGTACAGAGAGGAGACAAGAAAAAATGCATTCCTTAACGCTTTTTAAATATTTCCAGCGTCCCTGGTCCTCTCTCCAGGCTTGCTGTCCCAGAGCAGTGCTGGCCACATCTCCTCTTCAGGGTTCTAGAGGTACCCTGAGGGTTTGAGGCTCTGTCCTCATTCGGTTCTCCTCACTGTCAGCCACCAGTGACTAACAAATCTGTTTTCCTTTAACTAGGGTATATAGATTAGCTCTTACCCAAAGATGTTTATTTTGAAAATAATAAGGGAATGAAGGGAGAGGGGAATGGAATAAGCGTTTCTATAGCACCTACACTGTGCCAAGCACTATGCCAAGCACTTTTTTTTTTAAGGCAATTGGGGTTAAATGACTTGCCCAGGGTCACACAGCTAGTAAATGTCAAGTGTTTGGTCTGAGGCCACATTTGAACTCAGGTCCTCCTGATTTCAGGGCCGGTGCTATATCTACTGCCCCACCTAGCTGCCCCCTGAGATGTGAAGAAATGACCCCTTTAATCACGATTGCTTTATATTCCTCCTGCTTTAGCATCTATTGACAGACCCACCTTCTTTTTGAGTCTTTTGTTTTGTTTTGTTTTATTTTGGTGAGGCAGTCAGGGTTAAGTGACTTGCCCAGGGTCACACAGCTAGTAAGTGTGAAGTGTCCGAGGCCGGATTTGAACTCAGGTCCTCCTGACTCCAAGGCCAGAGCTCTTTCCACTGAGCCACCTAGCTGTCCCTCAAGCACTTTTAAAAAACAAATATTATTTCATTTTATTTTCACAACAACCTCAGGATATTATTTTCTCCATTTGGAGATATTAATAAGATGCTATTAAATGCTATCATTATCCCCATTTTACAGTTGAAGAAACTGAGGCAGACAAAGGTTACTTCACTTGCCCAAGGGCACACAACTAGTAAATGTCTGAGGCCGGATTTGAACTCAGGTCTTCCTAACCTAGGCCCAGAGCTCTACCCACTGCACCACCAACAAGAAGGCTCTGAAGATACAATTCACAAAAAGGAAGACTGTCCCTGTCCTCAAGGAGCTTAAAATCTAAAAAAGCAGGCAACACACCAAAAAAAGAGGCAAGAAAAGCAGGGAAGGGGAGTAGAGAGGGAGGAATGAGATATCGGGGGCCATCTTGTTTGAGGTTGAAACCAGGCAGAGCAGCAGATGCACGGGGGAGCCAGGGTAGGCTCCAGCTTCTTGCCTAAAGGAAGGCTTTGGGAGGACTTTGATGCTGTGCCCTGGAGAGGAAGGAAGGAAGGTGGTGTCAAGCATTCCCCCGCCCCCGGCCATTTCAAAGGTAAGAGCAGGCTCAGAGATAACAGCTTCTGTGTAGCATTGGTCCCACCCAGTTCACATCCAAATTCAGCATCACTGCCAGATGATTATATCTCAGCTGCCAATAAGTCGGGTCCCAAGGTTTCTCTTCAGTCCTCCATTGAGGCGTCTCTGCCAAGAAAACCCCATTGGGGTCATGAAGAAGAGTCAGACACCACCCTAATACCATGGTGTGATGGCTTGATGCTGTGAAAGCCAGGGCCCACAGGACTTCCTTAAATGTCATGCCTTGTGTTGGAGTGAAAATAGAGAAAACCTGTTGGAGTGCATGGCTAAAATTGGCTAACAGGATATCATGAGACTAAGAGATCATCTCAGTCCAACCCCCTCATTTTGCAGATGATAAATTATTTTAAAAATAAATGTGACAGGAGCTAGGTGGTGCAGTGGATAGAGCACCGGCCTTGGAGTCAGGAGGACTTGGGTTCAAATCCGTTCTCAGACCAGACTCTTGACACTTATTAGCTGTGTGACCCTGGGCAAGTCATTTAGCCCCAATTGCCTCACCAAAAATAAAGAAATCAAGAAATAATAAATGTGACAGCAGAAAGGGAGCTGGCCTCAGCTGAAGACCTGGGTTAAAGGCCTGCCTCTGGCCCATACTGGGCAGGTGTGTATGATCGTGAGCAAGCTGTTTTAACTTCTTATTGCTTGAGGCAACTCAGTCAGACATTAAGTTTCAGAGGAGGTGCCAAGCTGCTTCAGCGGAGGGAGTTTGCTCACCCAGGAGTTCCCTATCCCAATGAAATCCAAGGCCCAGCCCCAGACCCTGTACTTCATAGCCACCTATTTATAATCTTTTGTGTTCTGTTAAGTTGGGAGAGTTTGTATTTCTTTACATTTGTCAACTGTCCACAAAACACTCTTTTTTTTTTTTAGAGAAAAAAAATATTTTTAAGCTCAAATGGGGTGAAGTCCAGCTGATAGACGACTGTTCTAAATATTACTCAAATCGCTTTTTTGAAAAGCAAATGATATGTGCAGGTAAGCATTGAATGGCTTCTTGGTTGTATTTCTCTGTATATGTATCTACTTACCTTGAGTAAGTACACCATCCAATCCAGTCTAATAAACATTTATTAAGCACCTACTGTGCACCGGGCTCTGAAGGTACAATTCACAAAAAGGAAGACAGTCCCTGTCCTCAAGGAGCTTAAAATCTAAAAAAGCAGGCAACACACCAAAAAAAGAGGCAAGAAAAGCAGGGAAGGGGAGTAGAGAGGGAGGGATGAGACATCGGGGGGCCATCTTGTTTGAGGTTGAAACCAGGCAGAGCAGCAGATGCATGGGGGAGCCAGGTTAGGCTCCAGCTTCTTGCCTAAAGGAAGGCTTTGGGAGGACTTTGATGCTGTGCCCTGGAGAGGAAGGAAGGAAGGTAGTGTCAATCAAGACTAGAGTGTGCTCAGAAAACGTTAAAGATAAAATAGATTTAATCAAAAGAGAAAAAAAAAGGCGGGGCAGCTAGGTGGCACAGTGGATAGAGCTCCGGCCTTGGAGTCAGGTGGACCTGAGTTCAAATCCGGCCTCAGACACTTGACACCATGTATTACCGTGGGCTTAACCCCAGTTACCTCACGAAAAAGCAAAAAAAAAAAAAAAAAGAGAGAGAGAGAGAGAAAGGGAAAGTATGCTATATGTCAGCCATAATATTAATATTGTTTAAAATACTAGACAGTATAAGGTTGGAATGTTGCTGTGGTATAGGAAATGAATTGGTGGACTTAGAAAAATATGGAGACTTGGACCTATGAAGGAAGACATAATCCACCCTCAGAGAAACAGAATAAACAAGTATAGTACAGACTTATATAGATGCATATGAATGTATATGTCTATATATGAGTATGATTATAGATATCTAAGTATATGTATGTGTATATGTATGTATATATATATAGTTTATGTGTGTATGTATATGTATATGTATATATATATACATATATATGTATATCTATCTATCTATCTATATATATCCACACTTAATTGTAGCCTTCTTGGTGGGATGGGGAGGAAAGGGCAAAAAAAGAACAAAGTAAAAAGTGCACAGCAGAGAACAAAAGAAATCTTACAAGGAAGCAAAGAAAAGATGGACAGCTCTGAACACAATATGTAATATTTATTATATAGGCTTTCTTGAAATGAAAATTTATTGCTGTATATTTTGAATCTTCTCATGTTCTGCTATACATGTGGCAATGCTTTTTTTCTTTTCTTAATTTGTATTTAAGTTTATAATAATGTTTCTTTTTCTTTCCTTATATATTTAAGTTTTAGTATTTAAGTTTAAAATAAATTAATAAAATAAAATAAAAAATACTAGAGCGTCGTGGTGAGATTAGAGGTGATAAGCTTATCCTGGGACAGGTATCTTGTTCCAAGGAGTTGAAACCAGTCTGGGAACCAGATTCAGAATGGATTACAATATTACCACATGCTGTCCCTACTGCTTTTTAAAAAAAAAAATAATGATCTAAAGCTTGACCCTTAGTTTGCTAGTTCAGTGTATTTTAAAGCATTCTGAAGTCCTCAATCAAAATATTTGCAAATATGCTTTTCACACAAATAAAGTCAGATCTAAATAATTGGAAAAATATAAGTTGCTCATGGGTAGGCTGAACTAATATAATAAAAATGACAATTCTACCTAAATTACTTTACTTATTCAGTGCCATACCAATCAAACTACCAAAAAATTATTTTATAGAGCTAGAAAAAACAATGACAAAATTCATCTGGAAGAACAAAAAGTCCAGAATATCAAGGGAACTAATGAAAAGAAATGCAAGGGAAGGGGGCCTAGCTATTTCAGATCTTAAATTGTATTATAAAGCAGCAATCAGCAAAACTATTTGCTACTGTCTAAGAAATAGAGTGGCAAAACAGTGGAATAGGTTAGGTATGCAAGACACAATAGTCAGTGATTATTCTAATCTACTATTTGATAAATCCAAAGACTCCAGCTTCTGGGATAAGAAATCACTGTTTAACAAAAACTGCTGGGAAAACTGGGAAAATGTATAGCAGAAACTGAGCATAGACCAATACTTACACTCTATACCAAGATAAAGTCAAAATGGGTACATGATTTCCATATAAAGACTGATACTATAAGCAAACTAGAAGAACAAGGAATAATTTACCTTTCAGATCTGTGGAGAAGGGAAGAATTTATGACCAAACAAGAGATAGAGAACATTATGAAATGCAAAATGGATAATTTTGATTACATTAAATTGAAAAGTTTTTGCACAAACAAAGCCAATGCATCCAAGATTAGGAGGGAAGCAGAAAACTGGGAAAGAATTTTTACAACTAGTGTCTCTGAGAAAGGCCTCATTTCTAAAATATATAGAGAACTGAGTCAAATTTATAAGAATACAAGCCATTCCCCAATTGATAAATGGTCAAAGGATATGAACAGGCAGTTTTCAGAGGAAGCAACTAAAGCCATCTATGGTCATATGAAAAAATGTTCCAAATCATTATTGATTAGAGAAATGCAAATCAAATTAACTCTGAGGTACCACATCACACCTGTCAGATTGGCTAACATGACAAAACAGAAAAATGATAAATGTGGGGGAAGATGTGGGAAAATTGGAACACTCATGCATTGTTGGTGGAGTTGTGAAATGATCCAACCATTTTGGAGAGCAATTTGGAACTATGCCCAAAGGGCTATAAAATTGTGCATACCCTTTGACCTAGTAATACCACTTCTAGATCTGCATCCCATAGAGATCATAAAAAAGGGAAAAGGACCCACATGTATAAAAATATTTATAGCAACCCTTTTTGTGGTGGTAAAGCATTGGAAATTGAGGGGATGCCCATTAGTTGGGGAATGGCTGAACAAGTTGTGGTATATGAATGTAATGGAATACTATTGTCCTATAAGAAATGATGAGCAGGCAGACTTCAAAAAAAACCTGGAAAGACTTGTATGTTGATGCAGAGTGAAATGAGCAGAACCAGGAAAACATTGTACACAGTAACAGCCACATTGTAGGATGACTGACTTTGATAGACTTGGCTCTTAACAGTAATGCAAGGATCTAAGACAACTCCAAAAGACCCGCAATGGAAATTGCTATCCACACCCAGAGAAAGAAATATGGAGTCTGAGTGCAGATGGAAGCATACTATTTGCTCTCCTTTTCCTTTGTTGTTTTGTTTTATTGCTTCATTTTCATGGTTCCTCCCATTAGTTCTAATTGTTCTTTACATCATGACTAAAGGGAAAATATGCTTAATACTAATGTATAAGTAGAGCCTATATCAGATTTGTTGCTGTCTTGGGTGGGGTGGAGAAGAGTGGACAGAGGAGAAAATTTAAAACTCAAAATCTTATGGAAGTGAATGTTGAAAACTAAACATAAATTAATTTTCAAGGGAAAAAAAAACAAAAAAAATGCAAATATGGACAACAAATTCTCAGTGTTCTATGGTAAACCAGGGGTACTACCATCTTAGTTTTTAGACTACATATTAGTAAAAGTTTTGGTTCTGTTTTATTTAAACATTTATTAAGCATATATGAAAAGCAGGTAGGTGGCATAGTGGATAGAGTCCCAGGCTCAGAGTCAGGAAGACCTGAGTTCAAATCCTGACTTTTACTAGTTGTGTGACCCTAGGTAAGCCACTTAATCTCTGTCAGCCTCAGTTTCCTCATTTGTAAAATGGGATTATATTATAATAGTACCTACATCAAAGAGTTATTGTGAGGATCAAATGAGATAATATATGTAAAGTGCTTTACAAACCTTAAAGCACTACATAAATGCTACCTCCTTTTATTAGTATCCATAAGTCACTCTACTAGGTGCTAGTGAGCCATGAGGATGAGGAAAAAGAGGATATTGGCTACTTTTTAGATCTCGGAGCAAAAGAGAAAAAAGGAGGTATTTCCTTACTCAGAGAATCCCTTTATCCAGAATGTAGTGCTGGAGCACTTCAAGATTGTTGACGCAGTACCAAACTAATATCTAAAGCAAGTAGAGTCAGCAGGTATGTAGTGTTTGCCAAAGTGGAGAAGTGAGTAGGAAGTTAGGAAAGCCCAGCTTTTGGAGGGAGAAACACCACGCTGGTGGAGAGAGTGCTGGACTTTGTGGCAGAAAACTAAGTTGCACTAGTAGCTACAAAGCTTCCTAGATGCACAACCAACATTTATTAACTTTGTGACCATGAGCAAGTCACTTCATCTTTCTGAGCCTTGGTCTTTTCATCTGTGAAATGGAGATGATAATACTCACACCTCATCCTACTTGTACAGAAAACTCTTAGTAATCCTTAAAATGCTTCAAATTCAGAAAAATGAACTAGGATATTATGGTCCCAGATGGACCATGAAAGCAAAAGGCCAGCACCTTCCATCAGGACTGGGCAAGGCAAGAAGGTGTAAATCCCAGTGGATTGTGATGAGTGGGAGCATGAGGTCCTAATTTTCAAATGAGAATAAAAGAGGTACATTCATTTTTTCTTTTTCTTTTTTCTGCCCAGGGACAGATGATGGCTCTATAGATGCCTGTAAAGGAGATTCTGGAGGGCCCTTGGTCTGTATGGATTTCAACAACGTGTCTTATGTTTGGGGCATTGTGAGCTGGGGTGACAGTTGTGGAAAACCCGAGTTCCCTGGTGTTTACACCAAAGTGTCCCACTATTTTGAGTGGATTAGTTATCATGTGGGAAGGTCTTTTATTTCTCAATACAATGTATGATGAGGTGGCTTCCTTGTGTTTTCTATTATAGTCAAAATTCCCACTTTAACCTAAATAAGACAGTATATAATTACTAACTTTTAAACATTAAAAAAACTTTTAAAAACCACAAAAAAATTTCAAAACTATGTTTTATAGTTATTTTTTCTGTTCTTTATGAGATTTGTGCCTGAGTAAATGCTGTACTTAAATTCACTGAAACGTTCTCAAAATAAACACTTTTGACAAGCAAGCATGCCAGCCATGGTAAAGCCTTACCCCTGGGTTCAAAAAATCAGTTTCATAAATACAGGGTTGGAGGAAGCCAATTGGCTAGAGAATCAGTTGTGGGGAAAAGATCTAGGGGTCTTAGTGGACTGCAAACTCAATATCAGCATTGTCATTTAGCAGCCAAAAAAACCTAATTCAATCTTGGGCTGTTTTAAGAGAGTCATAGCTTACAGGAATAAGGACTGTACTTATATACTCTGTACTCTGTCCTGACCAGAGGCAAGCGTATCTCTGAAGGACTGAGATCAGTTCTGAGTGCCACGTTATCCTTAAGAAACTCACAGGACAGAGAAGCCAAGATAGTGAAGGGCCTTGAATCCATGCCATGTGAAGAGTGGTTGAAAGAACTCAGATGTTTTACCTGGGGAATAGAAGACTTAAGAAGGACCTAATATAGTGAGGGAGTATGGTACAGATGATGAGCCGGGGAGGGGAGTGAGGAATGCAAGCCACCGAATTCTGGACTCACCCGGGAGTCACGTGGGTTCAACATGCTGTGTTTGGGTGCTGTGCATACAGCTTTTGACTTCAGCTCCCGTCCCAGCTCGCTTAGGAACCTTCCAGTTCATCTAAATTCACATATGGAGAGCTAAAGGATGTTAACGGGCCTGCAAATTGACTCAAGAGACCACAAACCTCTGCGGGTTCTATTGAACCTCTAAGACCTAAACATATACTAGTTGACTTAAGCTTTTCTTTTAGGCTCAGGCTGGAAGAAACTGTCTTACCTAGCCCTTACCCCTACCTTAATGAGGTGCTGGTAAATGTTTAACAAATCTGAATGATTAACATTTTATCCATCACTTTCTTAAATCTCAATAATCAACAAAACAACAAATCAAGCCCTGATTTGTAGCATTTGCCTATTTCCAAGGCATAAGATGCTCACACTGCAAATTTAACAATCAGATCTGGTGAGGCTGAGACTCCAGAATACCTTCTTCTGAAACAGGGCAGGCATGAGCCACTCCAGCCACCTCCCATGCCCCATCTTGTTTTTCCCCCTTTCATACTCGCCATAGTCACTCTGAAGCATGGGTGAGGTATCCTGGCATACCTTGGTGGATCATTCTTATTGATCCTTACCCTGAGGGGGTGGGGAAGGGCCAATGGAAATACTTCCTTGGGTCCTGCTGGTACACCAGGGGACATATTCTAAGCATGCTTTTGATAACAGGCAAGGCAATATCAGAATAGATGAATTATGCTGTTAGTCTGCCTGCCTAGCCATGAGGGAGTCAGTGAATCCCTTTCCAAGGTGATACAGGAGTTAAGAAACATAGGAAGTGGGATTTTAATTGAGACTTAAAGGAAGCCAGGGAAGCCAATAGGTGGAGATGAGAAGGGAGGTTCCCGAGGCCAAATGCCCAGCACTGAGATACTAAGTGTTTTGTTCATGGAATAGCCAGAAGGCTATTGTCACTGGATCAAAGAGTATGTGTCATGGAGTAAGGTGTAAGAAGACTGGAAAGGTAGGAGGGGGTTAGGTTATATGAAGGGCTTTGAATGACAGAGCATTTTATATTTGATCCCAGAGGCAATAGGTAGCCACTGGAGATCATTGAGTATGAAGGTAACATAGCTGGACCTGAGCTTTAGGAAAATCATTTTAGTGGCTCAAGGGAGGATGCGCTGGAGTGAGGAGAGACGAGGCAAGCTATCGCAGTAATCCAAGTGTGAGGTAATGAGAGTCTGCACCAGGGTGGTGGTGTCTGAGGAGAGAAGGAGGCCTATTGGAGAGATGATGCAGAGGTGAAATTGACACTCTGGCAAGAGCTTGGATATGGTGGGGGAGTGAGAGAGAGTGAGCAGTCAAGGATAACCCCTAGATTGGAACCTGAGGGATGGGAAGATGGCGTTGTCCTCTACAGTAACGGGGAAGATGGGAGGTGGCGGAGTGGGGAAGGTTTAGGGGGAAAGATGATCAGTTCTATTTTGCACGTATTTAGTTTAATATGTTTATTGGACATCCATGTCTGAAAGACAATTGGATATGTGAGACTGGAGGTCAGTAGAGATTTTGGGACAGGTTAATGTAGAGAGAGATGGTAATTAAATCAATAGGAGTTGACGCGATCACCAAGTGAAGTAGCATAGAGAGAGAAGAAAGATGGTCGGGTCAAGGACAGAACCCTGAGGGACGCCTACGGTTAGAGGGCGTGATCTGGAAGAGGATCCAGCAAAGGATGCTGAGAAAAAGCAGTCAGGTAGGAAGAGAACCTCAAGGGAGTGCTGTCCCAAAAACAGAGGAAGAAAATGTTAACGAAGAGAAGGTTGAACTAAATGACTTCGAAGTCTCTTTCAGCTCTGTCTTTCTTAGTCTGAGCAGTCTTCTTGAGAGAGAGGGTGGAAAGTTAAATATGGATGAAGTATATTTTCTGTCATATTGTGATGCCATCTACTCTGAGGAGTGGAGCTATCCTTTATTTATTCTTTTTGTCCCTGAGAGTTCTGTTTTGTTTTGTTTTGTTTAATCCCTTTACATTCTTTCCAAGCTTCAGCCACTCTTACAGTCTTCCTAAATGATGTGCCCTTACTTCCCCGTCCTTTTAAAATTGGTCCTGAACAAAGCAGGTGGCCCCAGACTGGGGAATAGCTAAACAAGCTGGTAGATGAATGTAATGGAATGTTTCTGGACTTCAAGAAATAATGAAAATGAGGAATTCAGACAATCATGGAAAAGACTGTATAAACCTCTGCAGAGAGATCTTAGCCTGTCAGGCTTGTTTTAGCAGACTCTGGAATACATGTAAGTTCACCAGAGAGACGACAAGGACCTTGTATTGTCCTGGATCCTATGGCCCTGGTTCTTTTTATATCCTTGGACTCAGGATACAGGCATGGGATTGAGCTTCTGGGGAAATGGGTTAGTCTGTTAGGGCTTCAGTTGGGTAGCACATCTTTACATCTCCATATGCTGAGCAAGGAGAAATAATACCAATCACCACAAAGAAACTGTTCGTTGGAAGTATAAAATTATTTTATCTCTTTGGCCTTATAGTCATTTAGGCCAATTCCCTTTCAAGCCCAGTACACAGGATTAATGATGATGGGAGAGCATCAGTATCCATGAACTTCTTTAAAAGAAGTGATGAACATCATATTAGGTTCTTAGGAGGATCATATGAAAAAGACCACATGAAAGCAGATAATAATCATCTGTGTGCTGAATTTCTCACATGCTTCTGATGTCATGGTCCTTCATAATGAACCGTATTGTATCCTTATCACTAAAGTTTTCAATGCAAAACATCTCCAGTGCTTTTTTTCCTTTATCAGAAATTTGTAATAAATAGTGCCATAAAAACCCCACACATAAATTCTATGTATGGTTTTAATAAAAAATGGTTAAATTTGGAAAAAAATTTATATAGAAAGAAGTAGATAAATAAAGCTTTTAATAGACATTTGCTAAAGAGCTTATATTGTAATGGGAGAACACAGTGAAAGGGGTGGTACATCCCAGGAGCAGAGTCCAAGGTGCTGGGGTAGAGGAGATGAGTATGATGCTCGGAGAAGTAAACAAAACCAAGAGAAAACAATGATCCTAATCAAGTAAACAAAAGAACACTAAAATGATGCCCAGTGCTGAGGGACTATATTGACTGGTGTTCGTCCTGGAGAAAAGATATGAAATCACCTCCCATGTTATAACAGAGATGGAAAGTGGTGGATATAGAATATTTCATATAGTGCCTACCTTAGCCACTGTGTGAGTTAGTCTTATTTAACTGTTTTGGTTTGTTAAGATGCATCCAATGATGACTGACATTGAAAGCAAAAGGAATTAATAAGTACTTTAAAAAAAATTGGTTTCCAGTGTAGTGCACCCTGTTCAACCTCATCAGTTACTTCAGTTTCCCCCTTTCCCTTTCATCTACATAATTTGATATTGTGTCATGAAAACTTAATTCTTGAAAGCTTTCCTTACCTCTGGAACCACATTCCCTTGAACCAGAACACATAATAGGGTGTGATTTATTGATTGAGCATAAAAAGGGCAGCTAGGTGGTCAGGGAATAGAGCCCTGGGCTTGGAATCAGGAAGACTCATCTTCCTGAGTTCAAATCTGGCCTCAGACACTTATTAGCTGTGTGATCCTGGGCAAGTCACTTAACCCTGTCTGCCTCACTTCCTTATCTATAAAATGAGCTGGAGAAAGAAATGGAAAACCACTCTAGTATCTTTGCCAAGAAAACCCCAAATGGGTCACAGAGAGTTGGACGTGACTGAAACTGCACAACAAGAACAATCTATCTTGTCTCTACAAGAGGCAAAATTGCCTGGTGGATAAAGCATTGGGCTCAGAGTCAGGAACACCTGGGTCTGAACCTACACTACCTATGACCCCAAGCAAATCATTTAACCTTTCTGGGCTTCAGTTTCCTCTTATGTAAGATGAGAGGTTGAACTCAATGACCTGAAAGGTCCCTTTCAACCCTAAATTTATGATCCTATGAATGTAGGCTGCACATAGAATGTCTATGAGCACAGTAACCTTTCTGATGTTCTTCTCATTGATCAAGAATTTTTAAATGACATGGTCACTTTCTCCCAAGGTTCCTATCATTTCTAATTTTTTAAAACACAATCATAAAACATTAATGGAAGATAATTTATTATTAATAATATAATAATTCAATACATAACAACAACATAATGACATAAAACATACCATAACAATATAATATAACATAAAATACAACATAACATCATAACAGCAGTCTATCCATACACT